ATATTTGGTCTCTGCATTAAGTATTCAAAAATCTTATGAATGAGATGATAATTCACTAGCATAGTTGATGAAAAATAATTCTAGTACTTTTTTCTGTTGTCTCCACAAAAAGTGGGGACACTTTCCTTAATGATTAAGGAAAGAAGACTTAGCAGACCCCTTACAGTACAGGAGCAGAGTTACTTAACTATACGTGTTCCCTTTATTACATGTCATAAGAATTTCTATCTTTTGTCAAACAGTGACAATCAGTTATTTCCCTAAGTAAATTCTTGGCATATCCTTCAAAGATATTATAAGCAATGACCACAATTCAAAGTTTTTCAGTTCCGTAACAGTGACCCTTAAATTCAACTGGATAGTATCAGTTCAAGCAAAGAATCTAGAATGATAGCAGGAAGAAAATCTTACCCATACTAAAAGAAAAGCACCAAATAAATGTTTTGTTGGCATAGGAATTCCTAACAGAAAATAATAAAACTTATCATTAATGGAAGATGAATGTTTAACCTATAAACTTATGACCTACATTATCTGATATATTACTGGAAAAAAACAGACTTAAGTCTTTCAGATACCAGTCTTTCTATTCATTTATGAGAAACATTTTCCCCCGTTATCCTGTTCTTATTTCTAGGGTTTATCCTTGAATGGCATTCACCAATATGACTGCAGTAGTTATTTATTTATGGTCAGTTTCTCATTGGTCAGTGCACAGACCACATCAGTAGTTAAATATGGTGGGCATTATACCTCTCTTTTACTCCCTTAAAAAAAAAGTGGGTGGGGAAGCCAGTATGGTGTCCCACATTTGAAATCCCAACTAGGCAGGTAGCATAGGCAAGAGGATTACAGACTGAGGACAAGTCAGGCAAAAGCAAAAGACCCTATCTGAAAAATAACCTAAAGCAAAAAGGGCTAACAGAGTGGTTCAAGTGGTAGACTGCTTTTCTAGCAAATAAAAGGCCTTCAGTTCACACCTTAGTACTACCAAAAATAAATAAGTAAATACCTTAGTAAATAAGTAAAAATCCTATTACAGTTTGTTAAATTTGTCTCCTAGTTCATGTGTAGAAAACTGGTGAGGGGTTGGAGTGGGTGGTAAGGGAGGGGGTGGGGGCAGGGGGGAGAAATAAACCAAGCCTTGTATGCACATATGAATAATAAAAGAAAAATGAAAAAAAAAAAAAAAAAGAAAACTGGTATTACATAAACATAACAAAGGAAGATAAAAGAATCTGGTTAGAAAGATTATCATTTTTCTTATTCTCAAATTTTCTCAGACTATACAACAAAAATAACCAAGTAGCTATAATCAAATTAGTATTCACATACCAACCAGAAACATGGATAATCATGTTTTCCATAATTAGGGGAATAAGGATTTTAGGATCATATCTATTTCTTTGATATAACAGAAATGAATGGTTACCCATGGTGAGGTCCTGAATACTTACCCCATTTCCTGAACAAATGGTGCCTTCTTTACTGCTTAAGCAAGTACTGAAGTTGAAGGAAGCCACAGGAAGACACCTGTGTTCTAAGCACATCATTTGAGGACCACAGGGTGTCCCATCTTCCACATAGCCAAGATCTACATCTTCTTCAAGTTTCACATGCCCACCACTAAAAATAAATTGAGATTAAAAAGAAAATAGGATTCTATAAATTCACATTCATCTTGAAAATATGCTCAAAAACTAAAAAGTGGCAATATTACTTCTATTTTCTGTTTGCTATTTAATAAAAACCAGTAACATAAACATATTCAACTTATAAGTGAAGAAAACAGTTGAATTTTTTGACCTAATTCTTCTCAGAGAAATTGATATAGTTTAGGATCTAAACCTAATTATTTTAACAAGGGTCTTAAATACCATGTGTAAGTTCAATAAGCCATTACCCTTAGTATTTGGTTTAATACACAATTTTCAAGACAAGGGTAAGAAATGTGTTTGGTTTATATTTCTCCAAAACATTGCATATGTACAAATTCTATTGAGAATGACTTAACTATTATAGCCTCACTATTCAATACAGCAAGCTCACATATTTTCAGAATTAAAGAAAAACAGGAAAATAACTGGAAATGTATATTCACAATTGAATCATGTGGTACTACGTCAATGCTAGCATAAAAATTTCCATTCTTTTTGTTCATTTTTATTAAAATTATGCATGCATATAATCAATTAGATAAGTTGGGGGTTTTTTTAAATGCAATAAGGCAGTCCTCATATATGTCTTCAAGAGGAAAACAATTTTCTGCTCTTAATTGCTTCTTTTTTATTTATGTGCTTATCTTTAAATAATAAGTCTGTATTACGAGTTTTTTAATTCAGCTTTAGGTATTACCAATTGACATCCCTAAATGAAATTTGATAGTTTATCTCTTTTCTCTCCGTCCTTTACTGCACACACATTTTCCCTTTCCCCATCCCTTCATCATAAATTTTGTTTAATCAACAGTTAAATCAATAATAAAAGTGTACATTATAACTGTGTCATTCAGATATGTTATTTAATTGTACTGTCATGACTGAAACCTTTTGCTTCCTGTACTACCTTTTTGCCCTTAAATTACTCTTTTATTTGCTGTTTCTTTGCCTACTTTTCTAAGAATTTATCATCATTAATTCAAAACTAATCCAATCTCTCTGCTGGCTAGCTGTCCAAATCTCCACTGAAGATGCATCTGAGCAGCAGTTTGTGTTCCTGTAGAAATCTCTCTTGGAGTTTCTGATCTCTCCTGTCTGTCCTGGTTTTCTCCACATACCCAGCATAGAACTGTATGGAATCCCCCTCACTAGCAATTACACCCTCTCTCCATGGTGGACATATTGCTTCCTCTCTCCCTTGCCTTTCTCTTCCTTGTTTTATTCTTTCATTGTTGTGGAGCACATTTTCCAGTAGTTTCCTGAGAAAGGGTGTAGGGGAGTATGTTTTGGAGGCACTTGCATACTAAAAATATCCTTATTTTTTACTCTTACACTAAACCTGGTATTTTGATGCAAAATTCTAACTTGCAAAACAATTTTCTCCATTGTCTTCTGACTCCTAGGGTCCTCCTGCTGCTAAATCTTAAGCCACTCTAGTTCCTAAGTCTTTATTTTTCTAACCTCTGTGGAAACTTTTAGGATTCTTTTCTTTGTCCTGAGGTTAAATTTTCATAATGGGATATTTAGATGTACTTCAAATTTCACTCACTGTTCCAATACCTTGTTAAAATGGAAAAAAAAAAAGACCTTGAGTTGTAGAGTTACTCATTGACACTTTCCTCCCTACTTTTTTTTATTACCTCTATTCTAATTCAGTGAGTTTTTCTCTTTGTTCCATTTCCTTGTCACTTTTGCCCAACTTTCAAGGAGATAATGTCAACTACTGAGTTTTATTTCTGCCATCATATTTTTAATTTTCAAAAGCATTTTTTCTTTCTTCTCTGTTCTAGTCTTTAAAAAAAGTAGTACCCTGTTTCCTTGTTTCAAGATAGCTCTTATCTCTCATAAATATTGAAAAGGTAGTTTTCTGTTTGCCCGTTTTTCATGTTAGAGATTTTCTTCACATGTCTGTTAGTCTGCTCCTGTTTGAGTTAGGGGATCAAACAGATGACTGGAAATTCTAGGGCATTTTGACTGAAAATGCTTGAGGATGGGCCATTTGATACAACCCTGATATAAACCTTGCTAGTTCTCACCAAATTGGAAACCTTCCCTTTTATTCTCTGTGGAGTAAAAAGCCCAAATCTTGTATGGAAGGGTGGGAAAACAACTTTTTGCTGAATCAGGGAAGTTATCTGTGTATTTGACTGGGTCTTTAACATACTTTCATTTAGCTTTGTTATTTCAGCAACTTCCTTTTCTTTTTCTCCTTCTTCTGATGTAGATGATGCTGCCAATTTCTGGGACTCTGGCAAATGACAGTATATCTTGGACTGGGTCTCAATTTTCCCTTTTGCTGACTGAGGAATTTAACTTTCTCAGCTTTTATCAATCATACCTCACACAGCCATTTGCCTTATACATGCCAAAAATGTGTTACCGTTGTCTCCTTTCTCTTTCTGTGAAAATACAAACTCTTAAAAAGATCCACTCGGTGTCATTTTGGTAAGATTTCAGAAAGGAGCAAAAGTAGATGCAAATATTTAATCTACTGTCTTTAGTCAGAAACTAGCATTTTCTTAAACAAGAAGGAAATGCAAGCTAAACCCTGAAAGATTTTCTTGACCAATTAAACGTAACTCCAGCAACCACACAGTATTCCACATTCAACTCATTCTTACTTTCCTTTTACCCCTTTTCTGTTAGGATTTACTCAATCACCTCTGTGGACTAGATCCTCGTTAGGTTTTCTAACATGTGCATGAACTGAAAACAAAAGTAGTCCTAAACTGCAGTCCTGGGAAGAAAGATGGCTGAAATTCTCTTGGCATGGTTAGATAATTACCTGCAGTTTAATGTTCTTCCCTGCTGCACAACTAAAGTGGATGTGATTTCACCATCAAGTTCTCCAAGCCTTGGGATATTGCCAATATTGGTACACAAAAGGTAACCACAAAGCACATCTCTGTGATAAAAGATTATTGATTATTCACTTCATTCTCCAAAGATATAACAAACCACGTCTACTTGGAGTAACAATCCTCTCATTTTAGTATTTGTTTTTCATCAACTATATTACTTAGTAATATGCCAAGCAAAATAAAATAAGCACAAATTAGTTTGCTTAGTTTGAAAAGTGTCTTCTCTGAAACTGTTATTGGTACACCAAAATCCCAATTGTTTCCTAGTTTTTCCTTTACTACCCATTCATTCAAGTATTTATCTAAAGAATATTGTACATCAAATAAACTTCTTTTATATTAGAACTTCTTTGCCTGTAAGACATGCTGGGTATAATAAACTATTTTTTAGTCTTTGGTAAATGAATGAATGACTTTTGGATGAGTATTCTTTTGTAAAATAGATGTTTCTGAAAACTTTCTCCCAGACTCAAAAAAAAAAAAAGTATATATTTCTTTTATTTGTAGATCCTCAACCACAAATATTCTATTCACTATCCCTTCTTTACTTTACTATCCTTATTATCATATATGACTCTAATTTGATTTTTTTACTGGGAGTGAACACTACTTTACTCATCTTTTATGTCTAACACATTTTAATTATTGATAGATTATAATTAGCATATATTTTAATAACTATCTCATAAAATTGATTAGCAGACCAGAAAGATTATGTTGAAACATCAAACTTTGTGAAATAGATAAAAGAAAAAAATTAAGTCCGGTATTTATTACCAATGTAAAAAACTGTATTTATTCATTGTTTAAAAAATATTTTAAGAATATATCATTTCATGTATTATAAACAAAAATACCTTTCCAAAACATAAGAGCTATTCATAGAAGTTTTTTTTTTTTTTTTTAGTTTCAATTATATCCATTAACCTTTCTCAGTAATTTAGAGAATAAAGAAAATTGAGCATGACCTTTATCCTCAAGGAAATTATACTCTGGATGAAAAGACAAATCGTATACATAAGCAACTATAGAAGAAGTTGGGGACAAAGGCCATAAGAATAACACAAAGGCCTGTGCTATAGAGAATATGTTTTCCAACTGTCCTTTGCTTTGAAAGATGCATAAACTTTTCACTGATGATGGTGTGGGTGTAAACACTGCTTCTGAGGAATGAACAGTACAAACATAGATGTAAAGATGGGAAGGGTAATGCACATATTGGGAACAGTAAGGTTTTTTAGACTTTGGAGAAGTATAGAAGAAAAGATAATAAATGTAGGCTGGCTCAAATTGTAGAAGAGGTGCCAAAATAAGATTCCAAAAATTTTATGTTATTGTGGTAAATTTGTTTTTTAGATGTGGAGGTTAAGGTTGGAGGAGTTTAATAATTGTAAATTCTGGTCAGAGGGGTATTCTGAAATGCATTCCTAGTGTAATTGTATTCTGGAAAAGTAAATGATGCCATCTCATTAGGACAAGAGGTTGAGGTCTCCTTTTCTTGGGCAGAAAGGATGGAGATAGATGAATAAATGTATCAGCATGTATTGTGTTTAAAAAAAAAATTCCAAAAATTTTATTTGTTAGTATGTCATTTAGCAAAATGGTTAAGAAAGAGTTCTGAAATCAGACTGCCTGAATTCTAATTCTGCTTCTCATACATTTTACCTACATGACCTTGGGCAAATTCACTGACTGTGTCTGCTTCTTCATTCATCAAATGGGAGGACTGCAATAAAGATTAAGTAACCTACCTAAAGCAGTATACTGCAGTGCTTAGCACATGGTGTGCACTCAGTAAATGTGAAGTACTATGCTTACTATTAATTAGTTGGGTGGAACTAGTGAAATTTAAACAAACAATTGACATAACCAAAAGGATTCAGAAGAAGAATCTTCTGATGATAATATGCTAGAGACTGCTAGCAGAGAAAATTGTTACAGGAATTTTGTCAGGTAGAGTTAATGTAGGTCTTAGTTGGGGTAATGCAAAAGGGATGGGAATGAAAAGATGAATTAAAGTTAAATAGTACCAGACATAGTGGCATGCACCTATAACTCCAGCTTTAGGAGGCAGAGACAGGAGGATTGTGAGTTCAAGGTCTTGAAACACCAAAAAACAAAAACATAAAAAATAAATGGTGGGAGAGCAAAAGGGAAGAAAGACCGTGATTTGGTATTTGCTCAATGAAGAGATAAGGAAAGGGAGCGATAAGGATTACTCTGTGGCTTCTACTCAGAAGGACAGCAAGGCACTGAGACCGTTACAAAAACAGCTATTTTACAGGAGTCAGGGCCAATTGATTCTTTCAACAGCATTGAATATGTATTCTGGTGGCTTTAATTTTCATGCTTTTTAAGATGCTAGGAGATACCCTCTAGTTGAGAAAGTTCCGTAACCACTGCAGTGTTGGCCTAGGCCTTAGGAGAGGAGGTCCAGGTATAGGTCAAAGTTTGGAGTCTTTGTGATGTTGGAGCCCTGGGAAGAGATGAAGTGCCCAGGCAAGGGCCTACTTTGTGGGTTACAAAAAACAAGAGCATCCTGTCACTCAAAAACTTAAGCTTGTAACTGACTGAGGAATGAACTCTGGGCTGATGTCTCCACCTCACCGTTTGTTGCACTGTATCCATGTGTCTTTGTCTTTTCCACAGTTACCCTTCTCAGTCCCCTCAATATTCAGTTTCTCATAGCAGTATTTGTCTGATGCCATCACCTCTGAAGCAGAACAGAATTTTCTGTCAGTGTTGGAGGTAACACGTGGGCTGTTCAAAAAAATGTTTTTGCAGTAAAGGAAAACTGCAGTTTAAGGACTCTTTTTCACTAGTATTATCAATACCAAAACCAAAAACTATACTCATGGCTTACAAGAGTTCTCCTCTATCACAGACATCCATGGCTCAAGGTACATTTTTTTATGGCTGCTCATTTTAAATTTGGTAAACAAACAGATCTCTGATGGGATCAGGTTATTGACTGTAAGAACACTCCTGAGGATTTAGCTACTAACTAGTCAAGATGCTGTCAAATGGTTCCTTGAATGAATACTTCACGCTTTAATCTCAGTGCCAAACACCATGCAGGAATTTTTCACTCAACAAACTTTAGTAATCAAAATAGAAATTTTATTAAAATAGTTATACAGTATAACTTTGTTCAGGAAATAGTAGGACAATTTCTATCATGCTTACTGATTCTTAACAGCTCTTAATAATAATAATATTTTGCTTTTAGATGAGATTGAATTCATGATAAATCCCTGAAAGACAAATAATATTTTAAAGTATGCCAGCATCTTTGTCAGGTTTTGATCTTTTCTGAAGCCAGGACTGGATAATAGAGCTATCTAGGAGTTAGAGAAAAATGACTTTTGCAAAGTAATCAAAGGACAACTGTTGGTACAAGGTGAACATCCCTAATGCAAAAATATGAAATCTGAAATGCTTTAAAATACAAAACTTTTTGATTGCCAACATGACGCCATAAGTACAAAATTCCACATTTGATCTCATGTGATGAGTCACAATTAAACACAGCTGCACTAAAAATACTGTATAAAATTACTTTCTAACTATGTGACATAGGAAACATAAATAAATTTTGTATTTAGACTTGGTCCCATCCATAAGATGGGGTCACCATCTATAAGCCAACAGCCCCACATCATAAAAGTCCAAAGACTGTAACAATTCTGATACCAAGCATTTTAGATAAAGGTTATTCAACCTGTCTAAATTAAATAACTAGTTTTCTACTTTTTACTTTTCTTTTCTACTTCTTACTATTTTTGCTCAAATGGAGGAAATTAAAATTATATCTCTTTATTTAAAGTACAAATCAGAACAACTAAATTTCCTCCCCTTCTCAAAGCTTCTGGTAGCTCAAGACAACATATATTCCACGCCCCAAAAGTATTTCAACCACTGCTATCACAACCAAGTATTATCATTTTCAAAGCTTTTTTCCTAACAAAAATTATCTTCTGAAAGAGGTTAGAACAAGTTGGGCATGGTGATGCATACCTGCAATCCCAGTACTCAGGTGAGGCAGAATGATTGAATTTGAGGACAACCTGGGCTACATAGTAATACCCTGTCTCAAAAAAGAAAGAAAGAAAGAAAGAAAAAGAAAAAACAAACCAAAGTAACAACAAAAACAAAAAAGAGTTTAGGACAAAAACTGCTTCCAAAAGTGTTTGTCAGGGAGGGGGGATAAAGGAGAATGACGGAGAGGATGAATTTAACTGATATATTGTCAACACTTTTGTAAATGCCACAGTGTACCCTCAGTACAACAATATGATAATTTTTTTAAAAAGCGTTTGTCAGTAATATTTCTGGGAAAATATATTATGCGACATTTACATACAAATTTAAATATATTACCTAAATATAAATGTTATGTTTTTTCTTTGGAAACTCTGACAAATTTTAAGGGGAGTAACATTAAATTTTCTTTCTGCAACAGATAAGCTATATCAGCAGGAGGTCACCTGTAACTAGGAAAGTTGGCTAGAGTTTAAGAAGACAGTTGGAGAGGAAAAACCAACCCTAGCTAAAATGCTAAGGTCTAAGTCAAGGATGCCCTAGCCAGAGTCCATGTCCGTTCCATATGGCTATACAAGCTTTGCCTGAGGGCACTCAGCTAAGGAGCTCAAATCAGATTTGCTCTGTTTTCCAAGCTCTGAGTCCTGGCTTGGGTTTTGCTTGCCTGGCACAAAGGCACCTTCTGTCTCACCCACAGGCACTGCCAGTTAGCCAGAAAGTGTGGGGCTGTCTTTTCAAAGGAGCTGCCTTTCTCCAATTTCCAGAAAAGTGCCCTGCTAGGACCTACAGTAGCTTAGAGAAGCCCCTAGTCATTAGTCAGAAATTTACTTCTAGCCCATCTGTCCTTATGAAATCCACCTGATACTCCCTTAAAAATGACCAAGTCACACTATTTACTTACTTTGTCCCCAGATGTATTTGCATTGTCTATCCCTGGTTTTACATCTTCCTCCAAAGCAAATTCCCTAAAACAGAAAAACAAATACCCATTTGTGGTCTGCTTGTGTCAGATAACTGAAAAGAAAATATGTTTGGGAAGAGTAGAAAAGTATTATAGAGGACTTGTATCTTCAGAATGGATAATAAAAGATTTAAAATGATCTTCCTATTTTGGTAAGATTTCAGGATTTATATCATGCCAGTGCCACATGAAAAATCTAGGTAAAAATGATGTTACCTACCTGAACACCATCACATGAATATCCATCCATTTTATGAATATTAGGGGCACACTGAGAAAAGAGAAAAAACTATGAACTCAATACAGAACAAAACATCAGGCTGAGATACTCCCTGTAATGTTTTCATTTAAAAACTCATGTCTGGTAATACACCTAGTCCCTTAAACCATCTGTAAATAAAAACAGAAGATCAAGAGAAAATGAGGAAATACAATTGGTGCATTTCCTCTTAAAAATATGAATCTAGCAGAAGCAAAGTTTATTCCATTACAGAAAATGAAAAGAACTGACAAAGCTCAGTAAATTATATACATCACAGCATCTGCTTCTCACAGATACACTATTACTCAAAGTAAGAAGAAGAAAGTACAAAATAAGGGCAAGGAGTAAGCGCACACAGACGGAGCAAAAAGTATACTTTGCTCTCTTTAACCATGAAAAGCAACACAGCCCTTTCACTTGAAATAATGACTCTCAATAGCCAGGTGCAGTAGCTCACATCTCAAGCATACAATGACTCACTCCCAGGTACTTGGGAGGTGGCAATAGGGAGGACTGTGGTTCTAGAAAAATGTATAATCATACTGTCATTTTGGTAAACTTGGGAAATATAAAAAAGTAGAAAAAAATGAGACAGAGAAGTCACATTCCCACTACCCAAAAAACAACTATTTTTTACCTTCTAGAATATTTTTATCTCTTCATTTGTCTATAAGAATTGATTAACACAAATATGACCAAATTATAGATAATATTTTATATTTCACTTCTTTGTTTTTGTCAGATAAATTTCCTTATATAATAGTGAAGTTTTTATAGGTACCATGTTAATCGATATAACACCTTGCTTTAAACTAACCATATACTAGAACAAGTACTTATAATCATCCCCAATTAATTTACATTGTTAAAACTAAATCAATAAGAGTATCTTTGTACAAACCTTACTTTTGGATTAGGATTCTTAAGCATTCCTGCTTATTTATAATCATGTTGCTATTATATATTTCCTGTCTGGGGACCTAAGGGACATTATTCACTGAATCCTGATAATCATTAGATATCAGCTTATAGAACACTGCCAATTATATAGTAAGAAAGGAAAAATACTTTTACACAAAGATCTCTTTGTATGATTTCTTTAAAATGTCTTTTTTTAATGTTTATTTTAGGTATGCCATTATTGAATTCTTCTTCCCTGAAGAAACAAAATATGTAGGCAGTACACAATATGGTGCCAGGTTCAGTTAATTTAAAGAAACTGCATAAAGCACAAACTTGGCTACTAGCTTTTCAGTCAAATAACTCATTAAATAACAGGTGCCCGTAATGATTAGTGACCCATCTTGTCTCTTCTTTCAGTGACTGGTTACTGCATCTTTGCCAAGGTGATATCATATAACATTTTACAAAAATGGGCAATCAAAAGAGAGACTGGTCAAGAAAGACGAAAATATAAGGCTGGGGTGTAGCTCAGTGGCAGAGCACCTGTCTAGCATGCATAATGTAAGAAAGGAGAGAGTAGAGAAGGGAGAGGGGTCAGGGGAGAGGGGAGAGGAGAGAGGGGAGAGAGGAGAGGGAAGAGGAGAGCAGAGAAGAGGAGAGGAGAGGAGAGGAGAGCAGAGGAGAGGAGAGAAGAGCAGAGGAGAGGAGAGAAGAGCAGAGGAGAGGAGAGCAGAGGAGAGGACAGGAGAGGAGAGGAGTAAAAAGTGATGAAATTACAAGCACAAGTCTTTGGGTTTGATTCCAACACTGAAAAAAAAAAGAGAGAGATAAAGAGAGAAAGAAAATGCCTTTTACTTCCCACATCCAACAATATATTGAATGCTTGCTTTCATGTCATCTTAGGGGAGTCAACATAAGACAAAATCAAGCTTTGACTCCTGAAACTTAGATTCCTGAAAAAAAAAAAAAAAGAGTGAGGTGTGAAAGAGATAAATGAACATCTTGCTCATTTATATTTCTCCTGTGGGCCAGTGCACTAAATATCTATCACCACTGTTTTTGATGGGGTTTAGAGTAGCTATTTTGTAAGTTACCTGACTTGAATTTCCTGAGCATGTTTCACGAATATCACAATCGTTCACTGCTTCTCGGCACACAGTCCCCATAGGCTGAAACTAAAATGAACAAAATCAATGTGTAAAACTATAGAATGATCAAAAGCTCTCAGAGTACCATCTACAAAAGCAAAATGTAAGTTGTTAGAACAGGAATCCCTTAAACTATTTTAAGATCATAATCTGTGAAAACCACAGTTACTAGACAAAAAACTACTTAATGGTTTTAAGACAGTTTGTTGCATAGGAAGAAACTTTCACAGTCATCACCCATAAAGTCTCACAATTTCCTGCTACAATAGGATAGTCCTTAATGATATGCTCCACAAGAGTTATGAGTTAGTCCATATTCTAGTAATTCTGTTTTTTGGTTTGTTTTTTTTGTCTTGTTTGCTTCTGCAGTGCTGGGATGGAGCCCAGGACCTTGCACCTGCTAGGCAAGTACTCCACTGAGCTACATTTAGGATTTACACTTCATTCTTATTGATATATTTTGTCATATAACACTTTTTCCCCTTATCTGACAAGGATTAGAAAGTTAAATTTAGGGCTGAATTACAATAGTTAGATTTTCTAGCAAGGCTATTTCCTCCCAAGCTTTCCCTTCCCTTCTACCCTATACATGGATATAAAATCTTGGTCTTTTAGTGTTTTCTAATGTTCGTTACTAGTTGTGCCTAAGGATAGGAGTTTGGATTTTGTTTTTCCTTTTCTTTGTTTCTTTGTCTTCAATCATCTCAAATAGTTCTTGTTTGTGTACACTTCTACAAATAAATTTTAGACTTCATTAGATTTGCATATTACAAGAGTACTTACATAAAAACATAATAGGGAAACATAAAATTATCATACTTCTTCCATCTCTCTCCTTTTCCCTCTTCAAAACGTTGACATTTGGGACTGGAACATATTACCCACCCCCCACACTTCTGTATGACCTGCATCTTCTCTATCCACTCAGAATCTTTCAGGTACTTCAGTCTTCTGCTGCTCCCACACTATGCACAGCCCACTGTCAACTCTATAAGAATTGTAAAAGTGACTTTTTAGCAGAGCCAAACAAAATTTATGTTCATTTGTTCATTCATCAAGTATTTACTAAGCACTTAGATATGCCAGGAACTGTTCTAGCTATTGGAGATTCAATGGAGAACAAAATATAAGAATCCCGAGTGGGTGCCAGAGGGTCACACCTATAATCCTAGCTATGAGCCATAAAAATATGGAAATAAAAATTTAATTTCACATGTCTGGTTCTCTTGAAATTGGGACAAGCTACATTTTAGAATATCTAAAGCAGAAATATGAACAAATTTGAGGTAGAGGCTAAAGGAGTGCTCAAGAATTTCCAGGAAACTTTAGAAAGAAAGCTCAGTAAGGGAAGACTTGTTCTAAGTGCTGGGATACAGCAGTAAATAAATTGACCCAAATCCTTGTCCTTCTAGAACTTATTTTACAATAGGAAGAAGAAAATAACAAACAAATAAGCAGGCTACATTGTACAGCAATATTATACAGCAATACTGAGGCACAAAAATTATGCCCTAGGGGCCAAATTGGCTAGCTGCCTATCTTCATAAAGTTTTACTGGAACACAGAAACATTTGTTTCTGTAGTTTTTTTATTTATTAGCATATCATATTTGTAATGGGGGTACAATGTGACATTAACAAAAGTGCTTACAGTATATCTTAGATTCACCCCCTCCATCTTTCTCTTTTATCATCCTTCCCCCTTCTTATGTGAATATAGTACTTACACCATATTCACCCTTTCTTTTGTGTGTGTGTGTGTGACTTTTTTTTCTTCATTCATTTATTCATATGTGCATACATTGTTGGGGCCATTTCTCTCCTGTGCCTCCCACCTCCTCCCTCTCCCCGCCACCCCTCGCTTCCAGGCAGAACCTGTTCTGCCCTTTTCTCCAATTTTGTTGAAGAGAAGACATAAGCAATAATAAGAAAGACAAAGCGTTTTTGCTAGTTGAGATAAGGATAGCTATGCAGACAGATTCCTAGCATTGCTTCCATGCACAAGTGTATTACAACCTGAATTGATTCATCTCTACCTGACCTCTTCACTACTTCCCGGTCACCTTCCCATATTGACCTCTGTCATTTTAAGGTTACTGTGTTAGTTCCTCTGCAGTTGGGACATCAAACACTTTCAAGTTTTGGGTTTCCTACCTATCCCAATTCCTCCCGTATGTGCTCTCCTCTTAATGTGTGACCCTAGTCCAACAACATTACTGCATATTCACCCTTTCTTTATGCCTTTTCCCCTCCCACTGAGAATGACTGTGAAGTCACTAAAATATGAATTTAGTAATGTTAAACAGATTTTTTAATAATTTGTTCCATCTCTATTTTTCCATTCTATAATTATTTCTGTCTGTGTAGTGGAAGATCATGGGCTGTCCTAAAGGTGCAAAATTAAAATTAAATAATAATAAAACAAAATGGACAGTTTGTTGAACATTTTTTCATATCTGATATACTGGTTATTGATTGATTGTCTCATTAAATTCACCCTAAAGCCCTATGAATTTGGTAGTAATATCTTAATTTCCCTATACAAAAATGATAGCTCAGAGAATTGAGGGGTAGGTAGCCAGAGCCAGAATTTGAGCAAACATCTTGCTGCTTTAAAAACAGAGCTGAGTAACTGAGATAGATACTTTATGATCTACAAAGACTAAACTATTTACTATCTAACCCTTGATAGAAAATATGTGCTAGCCCTTAGCTTATAGTTACATTATTATAAATATATGTAGAAAAGTAGAGATATACACAATTTCTTATCTTAATCTTTTATTCTTCCTCTTCCATTCACTACCCTGCCTCTGGTGCCCCTAGGAATTCAGGGTAGGGGTATAGAGTACAAAAAGTAGCAAAAAATAATTATAGCTGGCTGCTGACTTATTTTGTGGGACAGTAAACCACATCATTTTTATTTTATATATCTTAATTTTTGTTATTTTGTACATTTTCTTTGTAATTATTATATCACAAAGGGCCTAGTTCCGTAAGACAAAAAGTTGTAATTGCATGCATTTTACAGATGGGAAAACTTAAAACATTCAAGATTAAGACAAATGTGTTGGAATCTCCTATATTGGCAGCTAGAAGAGATGACAGAGACAAGCAGTTGTGGTAGCCCATTTCACATTTGGTTTAATCTTCTTTTTTTACAGAGTACTTTCAGAGATGTCTGCCAGTGCCTTGCTTGTCTTAAAAAGCTGACAGAAGACATAGTAGTAAAGTGGGAACAACAGAAATTGCTGCCAACAGATCTGGGATGTAGCTGCACATCTATTGCTTCCTAGCTGAGTGAGTCTCTGCAAGTTTTTCAACTTCCTTAGGACTGGGATCACTCAATTGTAAAATTGGAATAGGTAATAATACCTCTCCCAAAAGTGTATTTCTCAGCATTATCTAAGACAATGGTCTCAACTGGAGGTGATTTTTGTCCCCATGGGGACATTTGGCAATATCTGGAGACATTTTTTGGTTACCACCACTGGAGGTTTGCTTTGACCATCTAATGGGTAGAACCCGGGGATGCTGCTAAACATCCTACAATGTATAAGACAAACTCTCACTACAAAGAATTATCCAGCAAGAATGTCAATAATTCCGGGATTGAGAAAGGCAGATATAAGATGACATAAATTAAAAGTGCTTAGCACAATCTTATCTACAATAAGTAGATACTTATTATGATAATTTTATATTCCACCCTCCTTTAATGCATTAAAGTCATTCAATCAAAAAACAATCATAGTGCTGTGTACATTTATTTACCCATTCAACAAATTTCTATTGAGAACCTATACCAATTACTGTCTAAATGCCTGGCTCTGCTCCATACAGTATATACACTGATGACAGACAGATATGACACCTCAGAAATAATGGGAAAATTATATCTGACATTGTGTGAGAAGAGAGAAAAAGAATTTGATTTCTTTGTGAAATGCAAACCCCCAAATAGATGTTTGTATTCATGTAAAGGTTTCAGCATTTGGAGATAGGTCTGAGGATGGCTGTTGGGAAGATAAAAATAAGCTAAAGTGTGCAAAGATATTTTCAACTTTCAGGCCAATAAAACATGTGAGGCATTATCATGTCTAAAGCATTCTGTTTACTCTCTCAACAGCTAATGCAATAAATACACCAAGATAAGCAAGAAAAAAAGAAGAATATATTGAATATCTGCCTTGCTTTTTAAAGAATATTCCAAGATTAGTAACACTTGGCTTCCCTTAGCCTGTTCTTCAGGGACACGGTATGGAGAAGAGAGCCTCTGAGGATTAACAGGATTCAGGCCAGATTTTCTGACTTACTTGGTGTAAGACCTTTGGCAAAAACTACTATTGGGTGGGGAATAATAATAGTAAATACACCTCACAAGATTATCTGAGGATCTTTTAAACACCTGGAATGTAGTCATTTACTATATGTTAGATAATATTATTAGATCAAATTTCCCTCACCTTAACAATTTAATCACATGTAGGGCTGGGAGTGTATGTAGCTCAGTGGTAAAGCACTTGCTTACTATTTGCAAGGTTCTGGGCTTGATCCCCAGCACCACAACAAAAAGGTAACAATTTAATCCCATATGTCCTTCTATCTATCCTTTGGTCAGTAGTCAGAATTTATTTACCTTGCACTTTTTACAACAAAGACCATCACTGCATTGGGAATCCTGGGTCAAGGTGCATTTCTTACAACACTCTGCTCCTTCAAGAACACATTCCTAAGGAAAAAAAGCATTGCAAAACATCGGAAAATGGTGTCATTGTTGTGAAAGTACTTTCTAAAACTAAATATATCAACTCATACTAATAATCTTTTGCCCACAAAGGCTATAAAATTTCCAAGTATAACACTTGCTCTGTGTATCTCAGTGTGTGGACCTGGAATTAACTAGATTACCAAAAAAATCATCTTCAAAATGACCAGAGACTTACTGCCGGGGTCCCACAGTCACATTCCTCTCCAGTTTCAATGAAACCATTGCCACACTCAGGAGGGTCGAGAAGCTATGGAAGGAAAACCAAAAAAGGATCTAAAATTTAGAAAAATCAACAGCAAAGACTTTGAAGAAACTACATGCCGCACCTAGGCTAACACAAAACTTTTATTTTGTTTTATTTTATTTTTTTTGGTGGCCCTAGGGTTTGAATTCAAGGCCTCACCCTTGCTAGTCAGGCATTCTTACCTCCTGAACCACTCCCTTATCCAAAGCAAATTAGCATTTGTTTTAGTCAGGTTTTTTTGCTTATTTGTTCACTTATTTGTTTTGTCCTGTCCGAGATTAAACCCAGGACCTTGCACACACTGGGTTTCCTCTACCACTGACCTACATCCACAGCCTCCTACATGCTGCATCTATGTATCAGGCGTCCCTCCAAACTACTTTTTACTTACCTTAACCTAGAAAGCATGATTTTAGAACCTGAAACTTTGGAAGTATCCACTTCTCTTTCCATTTCATCCTCAATACTCATATATTGTATTACATAAATTTACATATTTAACTTACATGCCAAGTAGGGTCTGGTAAATATCACCAAAATAAAAAAATAATATAACCACTCACCAAAACCAAGTCTGTTTGGCTCATGAAATTACACTTCAGTCATAAAGCAAGAGATTTAGAGTCAAATGCCTGGATTAAAATCTTGACACGGAGCTACACTGTAGCTCAGCAGTAAGTACATGCTTAGCACCAAAATAAAATAAAATGAAATCTTGGCACAACCAATTCAAATCTCAAAGACTTTGCTGTTTTAAACAGGAATAATAACAATTTATTCACCTAATTAATTAGTTGTCCAAAGTTGTTGTGAGGATCAAGTTTAATGATCTGTGAAGAGCACTTGATTAACCATATCTTCTAAACCAGGTTATTTTGTAGAGAAACCCATTACAAAAATTAATATATTTACTGACCTACCTAATATAAAATATAGAATTATGAACACAGCTTTGCAGAATAGCAATAACATCAATGATAACTTGCCCCAGATTCTGAAGCAATTTTTGTTCTGTCCAAGAGTACATTTTAAAGTCTGCGTTATTTTTGAACTCTCTGCCAACTTTGTTGTCTTTTGAATATAATTTGTCTTATAATAGTAGGCAAATTAGTAAATAGTAAATAATTGCTATTAAATAGATGCCTACTATTCATTAAAAAGTTAATCAGTCTTCAGATTACAGAATGAAAATGCATGCACACCTGTTAGTAGACACACATATATTCCTAACTAGAAGGGAAAAACAAAACAAGATAAAGCAAAACATTATTGACAACAAAAAAACCCATTCATTTCTGTCTGCTTTCTATTACCATCAAAATAACTGAAAAAATGTCCATAAATAAGCTGGCTTTGAAAATGTAGACATTTAGCATACATAGACTATGTACATATAGGCCATATTGAAAAGTTCTCTTTCATAGACCCAATCATGGAATTTTTTTTTGTTTATAGCACTGTAGAAAGATTAGTAATTAAAACTCTTGACCACATTTATTACCTTAGAAGGTTTGTTGAACAGGCAGGCACCACCTCCACTATTCAGGAAGTCATGATACTCTTCAATATTACACTGGGTGAACTTTTTTGGGAGATAATAGCTGTAGGAGAGCAGAAAATCAGTACCTGAGTGCAATGTTACTTTCCCTTGCTTATATATTAGTCTCAAAATTGAACATTGTTACAATTCTATATTTGTATTTAAATTGAAAGCATAAATTCCACTTATGTATAATATTGGTATTCAACCTATGAGAGTTTTATTCAATTAGCATGTTTATAAATGCTTCATTTAATGATTATTGGTGACTACAGGCTCTTCACTGTTTACATACACATATACAGAAACACATACATGCAGTACCTATAATTAAATCAAAGAGAGTTACAAAAATTTTATTTCATAATGAGTCCTAAATGTTAAAACTGGGCTACAACCAGAACTACAGAGAATTCTACAAAATATTGGCCTATAATTTATAATGTGCCAGGTCATGAAAGTCATGAAAGGTTCATTCTGAACCTTTAGTTACAAACGACATCACTGAAACATGGTCCCATTTTGAAAAAAGGCTGAGAATTACATGGTTCTACTGTCCATTGTAGTCATGAAGGAGGATGTTCTTATTTGTAGGAAATGTACCCTGAGGTGTTTAAGAGTGGTAGGGCATCAAACTAGCAATTTATAATTCAGGGGACCAAAAGTATATTTGTTACTATTCTTGTAACTTTTTATTCAGTTTAAAATTGTTTCAAAAGAAAATATATACTGAAAAAAGTAATAAAGGGTTACTCTAACTTTTGGTTAGAGAACAATTTGGCAATATGCATTAAAAATCTTCAAAATGAACACACACTTAGAGGTAATAATTCTACTTTAAGAATTTTTAAAAGAAATAATTAAGCTACATGAACAAAGATACATGAACAAAGACATTTCTGATAGCATAATTAGTAGTAACAAACATGGAAAGGCACAAATGTTCAACAGTAAGAGAACTGTTAACAGTTAATATAATGCCCAGCATAATGAATAGTTTTTATGTCTCTCCCAGTAGACTGTAAGGACTGTGTCCCTTTATATACCTACTTCTTTCTAGCATAGTGGTTAATGTTTCATAAATCAATTCATGGAATTTATAATGATTATTTACTCAAAAGTCATTTTGAAGTGTTTCATGTGACTCTCCAAATAAGGATGTGATTTTATTTCCTTCACTCCTTTTTCCTAACAAGACGTAAACCTTATTCTTAATTTGAATTATACCTTCCTTTTTTCTTTTCAATGCCTGACCCCTGGCTGATGTTTTTATCACCTTCTCCCTCTAATCCATCCTACATATCTCTTCCAGATTATCCAATACAAAGATGGCTCTCTTTCAGTTCCCTCTTTATTCTACTGGTTAAAACCTGAGGTGGATTCCCCACTGCCACAGTAAAAGTTCACTAACTGTTAGTGTAGGACACTTTGAAGCCAAAGTCTATTTTTATCTCTGCTCTGCAAAGGTACCTGCAGGAATCACTGCCTAGTCTAGCCTCCTGCCCACTATACAATGGGAGCTCAGTCTGCTCACCATTACTTGGCAGACATTGGAAACTCACTCCTCCTCAGGGAAGCTCTTTTTACACAGGGACAGTTGAAGTCTGTGGATCATTCTTATCTTCATTTATCTACATCAGAATTCCCATAACTTCCACATACTGTTCTGTGTTCTTAGCTATATCAAACAGACCTTATCCTCTGCCATAATATAGCCCTTCAAATTTTCAAGGCAGATATATGATATCTCCCCCTGCTGCAGACCCCAAACTTCTCTTTTTTTAAATTATTCTTTTGCTCACATGTGCATACATTGTTTGGGTCATCTCTGCCCCCTGCCCTGCACCACCATCCTTCCCCCCCCTCCTCCCCTCGCTTCCAGGCAGAACCTGTTCTGCCCTTATCTCTAATTTTGTTGAAGAGAAGACATAAGCATAATAAGAAAGACAAAGTGTTTTTGCTAGTTGAGTTAAGGGTAGGTATACAGAGATTCCTAGCATTGTTTCCATGTACAACTGTGTTACAACCCAAGTTGATTCATCTCTAACTGATCCTTACACTGGTTCCTGATCCCCTTCTCATGTTGACCTCAGTCACTTTAAGGTTTCTATATTAGTTCCTCTGGAGTGGGGACACCAAACGCTTTCATGTTTTGGGTTTACTGACTATCCCCACACCTCCCGTATGTGTTCTTCCCTTGGCAAGTGACCCAAGTCCAACAACTTTGCTGTATTTGCACTAGATCTAAAGTCCGCATATGAGGGAGAACGTATGACTTTTGGTCTTCTAAGCTGGCTAACCTTGCTCAGGATGATGTTCTGAGCAGTTCCATCCATTTATTTGCAAATAATAAGATTTCATTCTTCATGGCTGAGAAAAATTCCATTGTGTATAAATAAATTTTCTTGATCCATTCGTCAGTAGTGGGCCATCTTGGTTGTTTTCATAACTTGGTTATTGTGAATAGCACTGCAATAAACATGGGTGTACAGATGCCTTTGGAGTACCTGTGTTGCATTCCTTTGGGTATCCCCAGGAGTGGGATTACTGGATCATATGGCAGATCTATGATTAGATTTTTAAGAAGCCTCTAAATTTTTTGCCAGAGTGGTTGCACCAGCTTGCATTCCCACCAGCAGTATATGAGGGTTCCTCAAATACTCCCCACATCCTCGCCAACACTTGTTGAGTCTCAACACTTGTTGAGACACTCTGTGGGTGGTCTCTTCAGTTTAGAGACCATTTCTTTTGTTGTGCAGAAGCTTTTGAATTTTATGAAGTCCCATTTGTCCATTCTTTCTCTTAGTTGCTGGGCTGCTGGGATTCAATTGAGGAAGTCCTTGCCTATACCTATTACTTCCAGAATGTTTCCTGCTCCTTCTTGTACCAACTTCAGAGTTTCGTAACCCCAAACTTCTGTTTTGCAGGGTAACATAACTATTGTATTCAATGCATCCTTAAAATTTTAGTTTTTATACCTTTAAATACTTTAAATACTGGCAGTATTCACCTAAACCATGGTTTCAATATTTAGCAGCGTAGAGGAACTTCAGAAAGCAAAAATGGGAAGGAATGTACACAGGGGACAAATGCCTATAATTCATAATATTAGATGATATTCAGCAAAGATAAAATTATAGAGTCACATTAGATAATTTCTCAGATAAAAGGCTTCTCCCCTGCTTGCATGTATTCAATGTAAGAAAAGGTCCAGTGAAAAGAGCTATAAATATCTGATATGATTTTGCTACAAATTATGCTTAGTACTACGCATATTGTCTATAAAACTTTAATAACTGACCAAAACAATCAAGTATGTTAAGCTACATATTATAACTTTTAAGGGACAAGAACCTCTTGAATAAAATTTATTAACTATTGGAAAATTACAACTGCATCACTTCTTATTACTAAGCAAAATATCCAAAGAAATTTTGAAAAATATTTTAAAATGTATCTGCCTATATATTTCCTCTATCCCTTATTTTCCTTGTCATGCATATTCTAAAATTAAAGTTCAATCAACAAATATTTGTTAAATGCTTGCTTCGGCAGCACATATACTAAAAATTGGAATGATACAGAGAAGATTAGCATGGCCCCTGAGCAAGGATGACATGCAAATTTGTGAAGCGTTCCATATTTTAAAAAAAGCAAAACAAATATTTGTTGAAAACCAAGTCTACATAAAGTATTATGGTGTGAAGTATGAAATAACTATAAAATGTCATCCCTTAAAATGTATAATTGAAAGGTAAGAGGAAGTACAAGTATGTACAGAATTAAATTATAATGCAAAGTTTAAAATAATAAAAAACCTCTGATAGCTAGAAATGTGGTTAAATAGAGAAAAGAGGAAAGGCATTCCAGACGAAGAGAACATATTCAGTAAATCAAAAGAAGTTGGAAGTTCATGTACAATTATGATAATCAAATTTTAAGAAGCTAAAAATCCATGTAGGATTATGGTTAGCAAATCAAAAAGCTGGAAACCCATGTACAATTATGGTCAGCAAACAGATCAGAATAATAGGGGAAAATAAGATTATAAATGAAGATAAAGAAAGCCTACAGACATCTAAAAACTGGAATAAGAAATTGGAATCTTTTTCTTTACGTAGTGGAGACTCACAAAAGTTCTGAGTACAATAACGGTATTTAGTGAATAAAAGCTATATGTTGCAGCATGGATTACTCTTATAAACATAATGCTGATCAGAAAAGCAAGTCACAGTATGACAGCTCTCATGTAAATTGAAAATTTCAAAGCAATGTTATATTTTACACACACACACACACACAGAGAGAGAGAGAAAGAGAGAGAGTAAAAGTTTCAAGAAGGTTCTGTGACTAATATGAACATAATTCAAGATGGTGGCTACCTTGGCTAGAGATCAATAAGGGAGAACTCAAGGGGGATTTGACCACATAGGCGGTGTTATACCTTTTTTTTTTAATTGGCAGCTACACGTGTTCACTGTTTTATTCTCTATAGATGATGGAAGTGGAGATCAGGGATAGCTCCTGAAAGCTGCCTTAAACAAATAATAGCACAAGACTATCAAAGTTTGAAAAGGGCAATAGTGATGAGCCTGGAATAGAAGTAATGGTTATAAAATTTATTTAGAAAAAATAAAAGAGAAGAATTGAAGTCTGATAGTGTGTGAAGACAGGACAGTGTAAAAATGAATTCCTGTTTGAGAGCAGACTGTACACTTCTCTTCCCAACCCATTGTTCTGTTACACCACATTATGTGGCCACAGTAACAGAAGGAGCACAAACATGTGGGAACCCCAAGAAAGTTACAGATCCAGGCTGTCTCTTGGTTGTGCTCTGAGTATCAACTTACCAGCACACCACCACTTATAACCCATTTAATTAGAATTAAAGGAGACAAAAGGAAAGGGAATTGGTAAGGAATCTGTAAGCTATCAAGAACAAAGTTCTTTCTCATTAGGTTTCTTAGCCTAGGTTCAAGGCAAAAAAGATTCTGAGGTCTGCTGATTCCACTGGCATCAACTCTTTACTTAAATAAGAGACTGTTTAGTGAAAACATTTTATATACACAGTCATTAAGAACATTTACTTCTGATTTTTTCCATAAATGCCCGTGGTGAGGTTCCATGCACTAAGTTAGTGAGGGTCATATTCCTAAGAAAACAATAGCACAGCAGGTAATGTGAGTTATTTTCAAGTAAAAGTGGCTCACCCAGTGTCTCCCATAATGCATCCGGACCATGTGTCTTCACATTTACACTCACCTACCAGAGAAGGAGCACATATGCCTTTTTATAAACTGAACAGAGCTGCTTTTGAGTAGTTTTTTTTTTTTAATCATCTTCACTTTCTTTTTGGATACTTTTTAAAAAGCAATACCTGCTTTCTAATTTTGATTACACTTGAAGTTTTTTTATGCAATGTATAACAACGAAAATACACTTATCTAATTTTTACTTAAAAGAGACTTCTGACAGTTTAACAGATGGCCATGATTTTTAACCATGCACTTAAAATGGTTTAAATGAAAGCCAAACAATCAAATACCAATGAAATAGTGAAGAACTTTATGGTACCACGATAGGATCCCGTTTCAGAGACATTGGGGAATTATTATTACAATTTCTTGCTCAATTTTGAAAGCTTCTGCACCAAGGCTTCTAGTAGAAGGCAGTATGGTACACTGGTGAAGCAGAAAGGCCTCAAAATCAGGAACACCTGAGTGCAAAACCTCCGTTTGCTGCTTAATAGATGTGTAACCCTGTAGACATTGTCCTTTTAAGATATAGTCACTTCATCTGTAAAGTAGGGTCAAAAATGGGTATCTTGTGGGACTATCTTGAGAATTAAAGGAGTATATAGATATAGGTATTAGGGAATTCAACCATTTAGGAAATAATGGATACTCTCTAAATGGTAGTAGTTTATACTATAAAGAACCATACTTATAATAGCTGTTACTAAAATAATAAGATAAATATAGTTATAATCAAATTGTTACTCTAAATATATAGTATTAAACTATTTGTAGTGAAGTAACTTTACCTACTTGGGAAAAGATACTCTTTACAGATGCTAAACCTAATATATTTTACTAGGTCCATATTTTACTACTACTGATCCTCACAGGGAAGTTCTACCTCTGTGGCCATATTTAGAGACGTTTTTAATAAACCATAATAAAACACTGTATCTGAAACCTAAACACCTAGGATTCTCTATGAGATTACTTCAAATTACCAAAATGAACATATTTTACCCCTTCTTAGGTTAAATTCAGTTATGTATTTACTATCACATGGCCGTGTTTGTTATACATGGAGAAATTTTCATCTATAATGTAAACATTCCCTTGTATTACTTTTGAAAGCAACATTTTGTATGGTGGGTTATCTTATACTATCATACATACTCTTTTAATCACACAACTGAACCAAAGAATTTCATTCTACAAAATATTTAACAGATAGTCTATTTTAAATGCAAATAAACCACACATGTACTAAAACTTACCACTTGCTAACTTTCTTTTGTCTGAGATAATACCAATATTATGAGCTAATGACTGGGCAAGTGTAACTGCCATTAAATCAGTTTTCCCAAACTGAAAAACAAAAACAGAAATAGAATATATGTAAGTGAAAACTGTTTTTCATTAAGATGGACCATAGAAGATGTCACAATATAATTGAAAACAAGTAATTTCTAAGTATTTTCTTTAGCAGAGGCCTTGTAGTTAGTGCTGAGAGCACATTTGGAAAGAAGTAGCAAGAAATAAACCTGTGTTTGAGTAGGTCTTATAGAAAAGACTAAAAGCCAGGTAATCATGAGTTTTTTAGTTTGGATACTTATATCTCAGTATGAGTCTAAAATTCACCCTATAACATGATTGAAACACTTCACACTTATATTTGATTAAGTCAGTCTTTTGAATAATACAACATAAAAATAAATGTGTGAAAACTATTCAGAACTTGTTTTCCTTCCTATGTCCATATGCACTCATGAAATTTCCCCTATATGGAACTGAAGAACTGAGGATTTTCTTTCAATATGTAGCCTTCCAAGGTTTCAAGTATTTTTCTATTATATAACTTGTTATTTTTCCTTCAAAATTTGTCTAATACTTAAGAAAGGAAAAAATATCCAACTGGGTTGTTAGGTGGCAACCCAATGTTTCAGGGAACTACTCAACTCTGGAAAATCATTCAAAGTCATAAATGACTTTAAGGTCAAGGTAAAGACTGAAGGTTAAGGTAAAGATTCTTTATAGATAATACGTAAATTATTTAATTTGGATGTTATTCTAAGTAGAGCATGAGCAGAACTATCAGGCATTATCTTCCATTATTTCCCTAGTCTCTCCTTTTGTCATCTATAATTGGTTGCTAATAAAACAGTCTAACACCTGGAGTTTGTGTACTATTGAGAAGTTATTTTTTAAATATTAGGAGAACATTTTCAGCCATCATACCACTTTGTATTGTACAGATGTTCACACCTACTTCATTCACGCCTCCTCCTCTCAGCAACGAGCAAATCCCACCAATATAAGCTGCCCCGCTCCGGCTACTCTCAAATTGACTTCCCCTTTTGGAAAAGGAAATGAAAAACACTTACTGCTTACAGTTCAAACATCTGAGCACTTCTCATTGTTAATTCCCCATATTTATTTTCTCAATGCATACAAGATTTCCATGGCTATATATTCCCAAGGTAAGGGAGTATTGTGAGAATTGTTTACAATAAAATCAGAGAAAAAGGTTTCTGAGTGATGTTTCCTTACGTGACCAATAAATATCTTAAATTCCAATATATCTATCAAAAAAGAATTATCAATATGGTACATTCTGATGATACAAAATCTGTCAAAAACATATGGGCTGGTGGAGTGGCTCAAGTAGTAGAGCGCCTGCCTAGAAAGCATGAGGCTCTGAGTTCAAACTCCAGTATCACCAAAAAAAAATTTTTTTAAAAAACATTTAACTTTAAATCTCATGAGAAAACATTAGACATTCGTATGATGAGGGGTAGTATATAAAATAACCCATCTATAGTCTTTAAAAGTATTAAGCTCAAAATAGACAGAGGCTGAGAAGACCGTTCAGTTTAAAGGAGACTAAAGGCGAGTGTAGGAGGGTGAGGGTGTGGAAATATTACGTATTGTGTAAATGGAAAAATGAGACCCATTGAAAATATTCCAGGAACAGGGGAGGAAAGGATGAAGAATGATGAAGAGGGTGAATTCTTACAATATGATACACTGTAAGAACTTTTGTAACTGTCAAAATGTAACCCCCCCAGTACAATAATATGATAATAAAAAAATAAAGGAGACTAAAGAGACATGATTAAATACAATGTGTGGTACTGGCTGCTGAATGAGAAAAAATAAACTATAAAATGACATTAAAACAATTAGTGGAATTTGAATATGAATTACATGAAAGTATTATGTCAGTATATTATTATTTGGGTTTAATAATTTACTGTTATATAAGAGAATGCCTTTACTATTAATGAATACACTGAAAGAGTAAAGTACTTAGTACTGAATGCCCAGTAAGCGTCTCCAACATATACTTGAGGAGTTCAAGAAAAAAGTGGATGGATAGCAGGAAAGAAGGGAAAGAGGGAATGATAGGGGAGGAAGGATGAAAAGAAATCATAAATGAGGAAAAATATAAATAAATGATAATTCTAGGTAGAGGGCATATGTAATTTCCTTGTAATATTCTTACAATTTTTTCTAATTTTGAAATTAAGTAAAAATTAAAAGTTAACCTCAAAGTATACTTTTACTTTCTATTATAGCTTTCCTCAACAGCTGACTTTAGATGCTAGGTTTTTGTGTTGTTTGGTTAGGGTTTTTTTGGTTGTACTGGAGTTTGAACTTAGGGCCTCACACTTGCTAAGCATGTGCTCTACTACTTGAGCCACTCCACCAGCCTAGATGATAGGTTTTTTAAAATGCCATTATATATTTTTTGCTATTACACTGAGCATGTATGTTACTATAAAAAACAAGAGGAAAAAATACAAACTCCAGAAATTTAGCTTTTACCTTAGAAACAAAAGCAGACAGAACATTAGCATTTAAAACCCAGCAATTTTCTTTTTCTTTTTTTAATTTTTATTTTATTCATATTTGCATACAATGTTTGGGTCATTTCTCCCCCCTTCCCCTACCCCCTCCTTCCCCCCCACCCCCCCTTACCCCTCGTTACCTGGCAGAAACTATTTTGCCCTTATCTCTAATTTTGTTGAAGAGAGAGTATAATAAAAACCAGCAATTTTAAAGAAAACAATTATCTGTTGCTAAAAATATACTATATGAGTATGAGCAGTTCTATACTCAGTAAATGCTCTGATTAAATCTCTTAAAAATTAATAGAAATAGACATGCAAAAAATAAAATAACTCATAATTAAATCACTTAAACTTTAATGACAATTGCAATCTGTACTTTAAAACTTTTTCTAAAGATCCCATCATGTTAAATACTAATTGTATCATATAGGACGAAGGAAACACCTCAGTCACAAATAATAGAGCATACAACATAGAACCAACAAAAAGTAATAAATCATTACAAGTTACGTACGAAAAAAGGTGGACTGCATCACTTTTCTCTTTGATAAAATCCCTCCTGTATTTCATAAACTCACGTAGTGTGATCAATGGATTTTCAGATATGGCAAACTTGTTGTCAGCCGCCCAGGTTTCCATGGCAACCAATACTATCCTTGTCTTAAGTTGGTCTTTATATATCTAGTGTATTAACAAAATGAATGCACCAGTTGTACATATGGTAAGATCAAATAGTTTACAAACAGGATTATAAAGCTCCTTCATGGAACTCTGAAGAGTTTTAATTAAAGGTAAGAAATGTTATTGTTTTTAAGGAAGATCATTATTTTTCTAATTTGCATGCATTTCCCTTCAAGAAGTGAGAATCAAATTGTTTACTGAGTAATACTCAAAGAAGAAAGCACTTTTTAGAAACAAAAGATCTCTTTTAAACGACTACTTGCACCCAATTCAAGGTTCCCCCAGTCCATTCTTTTTTTGTCTTCCCCAGACAAATAATTTATGCATTCTTGAGTTTCCCTAGCAAAAAAAGTGGAACAAAGAAGACTCTTTCAAGGAAACAACAGTTATAACGCGACTGGCCCCAATTAAACTTATAAGGAAGGTACTTGCACTGCCTTGTCCAGGGAAGATGTGGAAAGAATGCAGTGAAATTATTCAATGGCATCACTGTCACAGCACCAGGAACTCTTGACAAGGCACACCTGCTGCACTATTCCTCCACTGATTTTAGGAGTACAATGTGAACATTTTTGCTAGGGTCTATGAGTGAACCTTTGTCTTTTACAGTGTGAAAAACACGGAAAGGAATGTCAGGCATATCTATGGGTAACTTTGATAACTTACTCTTCCCAAACAGAAATCAAAGTCAAGTCAATGGCAAGGTCCCTGGGAACTTTCAGAATACCTTGACTGAAGTGAAACTTAGAGCAGTGAAAATATAAGAACCATATGACTCCTCTTAGCAATCAGGAGCTAAAATTCTTTTAGGGTGACACTGAATCAGGTTGATACTTACCAAATCTGCCATGTTCACCACAGATTTGGCATAGGTATTAGTATGAACAACGGAAAGCCGATGTTTTTTAAACTGAAAGCAAAATAAATAAATAAAAACAAGTGAAAAGCTTTCAAACTTAACAGAAAACAATCAACTCAGTAGACAAAGTACTGGTCAAACAGAAAAATCCCTAAGGCTTTCTGAAAAAGTGTCAGAGGTAAGATCTAGTTCTTCATCTGCCCTGTAGCCTGAGGCAAGATTGAGACCCCCATTTAGTAATCTGTGAAATGAAGCTAAAAAGAAAACCTACTCCAAAGATCTGGGGTGTTGTTCAGTGGTAGAGTGCTTGGCATACATGAGGCACTGAGTTCAATCCGTAGCAACTCCCAAAAATATACATAAAAATAAAACTACCCATTCTAGCTCGTTCACAGGCTTATTTTTTCCAGGATTGCTATTCAAAATGATAAAACATGTGAAAGCTGTCATATGTCGGGATTGCAAGACATACAAATACAAATAGTAAATGTGAACACTGCTAAAAGTGGAAAAATTTACAAGGTCTACAAGACTTATTTAGCAAGAAGGAAGTCCAGCTTCTGTCTTCTAAAAGTAGCAAGCTTATACCCAAACTCCTGTGATGGCACATACCTGTAATCCCAGCACTCAAAAGGCTGAGGCAGATGGATCGCCAGCTTGAGGTCAGCTGGGTCTACATATCAAGACCCTACCTCAAAAAAGAGCAATCTCACAGGGCAACGACCATAAACACTGAGAGGCAGCTGCTCCCTTAGGCACCATGTGCCTTCCCTTTTGCCATGGGCCTCACCCCTCTCTACTTATCTCTGGTTCACTTCACTTGTATTATCTGTCTGTAGATGTATATAGATGTCTGAATTTGTGACTATCTAAAATGTTTAAAGTACATGTTCTTATAGCTTATTTCTAATTTATAAAAATCCCAGGAAACATTCACTGATTCAAATAGGGAAGAAGAAAATAGACCTAGCCTGAACAAGGAAGCATCAATCAGTCCCAATTGTATTGTTGCTATCATTACTATTATTATTGGCAATAATAATAAATAATATTAACATTACCTATTTCATCATATGTAAATGACACATTTGCCCTCAAACAAATCATTCAAAGTAAATTGTAATGCACTTGTGTCTGAAATTAAGCAAAATTCAGCAATGTACATCACTGCACATTTTTCATTTAGAGCTCCGGTTTCATGGAACAATTAGATGTAACTTACTGCTATGCTCTGAATGTAACTATATCACTTCATGAATGTAGCCATATTGACTGCAATGTGCCCAATTAATTGAATATATGCACTATGGGTTGAAATTATTCAACTCATCAGGAAGGAAGTTCTGGAAATTTCTTATTCTAGGATTCTTCATTGCTTGGTACATAAGCTTTTCCATCTGACTTTCTACATAGCAAGATAAAAATAGAAAAACTGCTTTTCTTTTATTCACATAAAACTATACACTGCAAACAAAAGTACCTCAACTTACCTTTTCAATATAAAATGCAAATTTCTACTCTTCTGAAATTTTATCGTTTTAGTAAGAGGAGGTTCAAATATTAGTAACTGCATTAATCAAGCAATTCAAAGCAATACCATTATGAGCCACAGAAATGTTTTTAGAATCTCATGAATTATTGCTAGTTACTGCCTCCTATGAATGTTTCCTATTTCTGGGTTGTTGTTGTTAACAAACACATTTACACAAATACATTTTCTAGGTCACAACTTGGTGAACTTTTTATTTCTTCTAAACATATTTTTGCACCCACCAGTTTTTGCCCTAAGCACAAATTTTTTAAAAAATTAAAAGCAAATGTTACCATGAGATGATCATTCACAATCATCAGTTCGATGTATTTGGTTTCCTCTTCTACGTTACGAGGATATCGAAGAAGCTACAATGTAGAAAATAAAAAAACACACCTAAATAAGCCCTCTAAACTTGGCTTTGAAAAACCAAAAAATATGGAAGAAGTCAACAAATTTCCCCCTTTTTATTTCTTTAGCATTTTTTTAACTTTCATCAACTTACTTAGTTTTTGAGTAGATGATAATAAGCTTACATAATTGAAAAAGTCAATGAAGTAAGACAAGGCCTACAATGAAATTTTTCCTCTCACCTGTTTCCCCATCCACCAGTGCCTACTCCTTCTTCTACAATAGATAGAATTACAACCTTCTTCCAAAAATATTTATGCAAATGAAATTAAATATGAATATATGCTTTATTTTATACTTCTGCTTATTTCATTCTCTTCTACATCAAGCTATTTTTATCTAACAGAATATCATGGAAACAGTAACACCTCAAGAACATTCTTCCTGGATTAATTCAATTTAATTCCAGCAGTCTTTCTGAGAATGGAGTGATTGGCCCTTTTATTCTACCATCTCCAGATCTGGGACTGAAACATACCCCTTCCTCTGGTATAATTCAGGGGGGTTCCCAAAATGATACAGAAGTTTTGTCAAGATAGCTCTGAGAGCTCCCAGGTAGTCTGGGTTCATCTTTTACAGTGAGATCTACAACAAAATTTTCTCCACCTTTAAAATCATGATCAATGAATTTCACAGTCAAGAGCCACTAAGGGCAGGCATTCCCTCAGCATTTAGTCTGCAACATAATTTTAACAAGACCTATACAATTGACTTTTTTCCTTTATGTCATGGCTCAATATACTTCTTTTTTAAGTAAATCTTTTAATTTCCCAAAGACCACTTTTGTGACACAGGCATATAATCAATCCTAAATCAATACACGTATGCTTATTTTTAGTGCTACATTTAAGACAGACTAAAATACACAGCCACATAGATTTTGTGTCTTGCTAAATGCATTCCTAAACTTAAAACACTCTTTTAAAAACCTCTTACTACACCAAGTAGAGAATAATGGACTATATTTCTGAAGTTGAACACTGAAGTTGACACTAAACTGTGTCCAATGACAAGTCTCAGATCTATAATCCTAACTACACTGGAGGCAGAAACAAGGAGGATCATGGTTCAAGGCCAGTCGGAGCAAATAGTTCATGAGACCTAATCTCAAAAATACCCAACACAAAAAAGGACTGGCAGAGTGGCTCAAGTTGTAGAGTGCTTGCCTAGCAAGTGTGAGGCCCTGAGTTTGACCAATCAATCAATCAGTAAAATAAAAAAGAATACTACCTACTTCATACAGTATAAAGCACTGTATAAGGAGTTATTGCTATTTAGACCAAGGTCCAGTTGAATAATCATGAAGCTATGTCCTAATTGTATCCTACAGGCAGACACATGGTGTGGTGCACATCTGAGCCAGGAAGAGAGGCCTGTGGTAGGAAGAACCTGAGATCCACAGCCGGGGTCTCACATTCCCTGTAATATGATGAGTCACACTATCTCCGCTATCTCGGATCCTCGATGTCTGTGAAATCATATAGTCCATTTTTGTGGGACTTACATATCTGTTGCCCGTTCTGCTTACTTCCCCCTGACAAACGTCTGGACTAGTACTCATTCTCTCATGAGACAATGTAGACTCAAACGATCACGTACATTACGACGTATATTTGTGAACACATACCTGCCGCTTACTCCTTTTTGGTCTTGGTTTCAAAGTAAATTTTGGTGAACTGATGTTTATTTGTTGAAATTCTAAAAGGAAATAAAAATAAATTAAACTTAGTGCACTTGTCAGATCTCTTTAATACAGTAAAAATGCCCACTCCCCTTTTTTGAGAAAGGGTCTCAATATGTAGTCCAGGCTGACGGTGAAGTCAAGACCTTCCTGTCTCTGCCTCTCCTGACAACAGGGATTACAGATGTGTACCACCAAATGAGACCTTCTTAAGAATTTTATAATATATAATATTGTACTTAATGATCACACAGGACATTAATGTAAATAACTGTGTCATATTAATTCTATCAAATATATAATGGATAAATACAATTCACAAAATCTCAAACTTTATTCTTATAATTTATATCAATTTTTCATATTTCCCCTATAAATACCATCCCATTCTTTATGAAAAATTTTCTAAATAACCAGTCTGACTTTTACTTTCATTCCTAACCTTTGGGAGGCAACAAGATAAATTAATGAGGAGGAACAATGGGAGGCAAATAGAATAATCATGCATTCTGTAGGGCACCAAGGTTTTCACTCATTTTTTCCCAATTCTCTTTACCTGTAACAAAATTTATCTCAGAGGCTGTTTGCTCTTGGGAGCAGATGCAAGCATCTGAATCCCTCTTCTCTTGCAGATCAGACTTATATATCAATTGTTTATGTACATAGATTCATCTCTGGATATAGAACTACATTATTTGTAAAGGAGGATTTACTACAAAATGAAAGAAAAAGTGTGATCATCCCCTGTGGTACAGACTTCCTAGAACACTGATGGCTGAATGAACAACCTGAAATACTCTGATATGGGCTTCTTATGTGAGTAATGCCATGCAACACCAAGTGTGAACCATTACTATGACTCTTGGATACTGTTTATACAAACTGAAAAGTACTCTGAAATTGCAACATTACCCCAAAATGTGATAATGTGTTTTCTTAATTATTATTCTCAGAGGAAAAAAATCAAATATTATTTACTTAAGTTGTGGCCAACACTCACTTAAGTGAATTTATCTAGCTTTCTATTTCACTATCTTAACTGCACTTAGTAGGCATAGCTAATTAAAATAATTTCTGAAATTTATATTTATGTGATAATGTAACAACATGGTCAAAGGGAAGGCTAATCATGTTTGAAGGGATTTGTGACAAAGAAACTGAATAATAAAATCAAGCTAAGGAGATTAGTGTCTTGGCCTCTCATCATGTCATTTTTAAATATGCCATTCTCATCACGACATTCTTGAGGCATACATGGCATTTGAGAAAGTTCCTTTCACAATAGGAAAAATAGAAAGATTAAACCAAACCATATCAATAGCTACACTAAATGCAAATAGATAAAATGTTACAGCTAAATGGTACAGACTGCCAGACTTTTTTTTTTTTTAATGGAACACCTAACTGGATGCCTTAGGAACATCAACCACAAGAAAGCCATGCTAGAAATACTATAAGACAATGTAGAATTAAGGTTACAAATTTTATCAGGAACAATAACAGAAGGATCTGTTCATTAAAGACATACACTCCTGCCAACAGCCACAGGAGTTCATTTAGAAGCAAATCTCTCTCAACTGAGCCTTCATCTATGATTGTAGCCCAGGTGACAGTTCCACTATAAACTCAAGAGATCTTGGGTCAGAGGCCCCCAGCCACAGCCAGGTTCTTAACTTTCAGAAATTATAAAATAATAAATATTTATTGCTTAAAGCCACTTACTAAGTTTTAGAGTAATTTGCTGTAACAGTAGATAATTAATGCAGCCTCTGCACTAAAAATGATCAACAATAATAAAAATCTTAAAAGCCCTAAATAATTTTTTAAAATTTCATCTAGATACTAGTGGCTTCTGACTGTCATCTTAGTTACTTCAGAGGCTAAGATCAGGAGGATCATGATTCGTGAGACCCTGTCTCTAAAATAACCAGAGTAAAATGGACTGAAGGTGTGGCTCAAGCAGTAGAGTCCCTGCTTTGCAAGCATGAAAACCTGAGTTCAAACCCCAGTCCCATTAAAAGCAAACAAACAAACAAAAATTATGATTTAGTAAATCTGAGAATTTGTTTTGTTTTGGTACTGGAGAGTAAACTCAGGGACTTGTGCATGCTAGGCAAACTCTCTGCCATTGAGTTACACTACACCTCCCTCCTCCAAAAAAGTCTGAATAACATAAGGACATATGCTATGCCTATGGAGTGGAAGACTAACAAGGTATCTATTTTCTGCAATTAATCTATACTTTCAAAACAAAGAATAGAAGATTTGTGGAAACTCACAAGCCTGTTGTAAAATTTCTATGGAAATATAAAGGGCATAGAAGAGCCAAAGTTAAAAAAGAAAAAAATTGAAGGATGCACCTTACCTGATTTCAAAATATACAATAAAGCCATAATAAGCAACAATGTGTGATGGACATAGCTAAATAGAACATAACTAAGGAACAGACTCATATTAATACTTTTTGACAAAGACATCAAAATAATTCAATGAGGAAAAGAAACTTTTCAACAAATGTAAGAAAAAATGAATATCCATATGAAAAGTAAAATAAAATAAAATGCAATTCCTGCCTTTAACCACTCACAAAACATAATTTGAAGAACACAAATCTAAACATAAAAAATAAAACTACAAAGTTTTTAGAAGGAACTATTGAAGACTATGTTCACAATTTGAGGACAGGTAAAGATTCTGTAGAACAAAGAAAGCAATACAAATTGATGTTAGACTTCATCAAAATTAAAATTGCTCATGACAAGATACCATCAGGAAAGTGAATGAGGAAGCCAAAGACCGGGAAATTATTTTTTGTGCACAGTGAAACATAGAAGTTGAGTTTTATTTTATTTTCCATATGGCTATTCCATTGCTCATAAGACATATCTAAGAAAAGCCTTATATCCAGAATTACTTCTTAGTCATTTGTCTAAGATCAAGTGGAGAATATGTAGGTACTTCTATAGTGCAACAACTAAAAGACAAAAATTCTGATCAATAGTTAATAAAGCATACTGTATATATCACTAGTTACAAAAATATAACTTAAAGTGAGATACGACCATGCACAATAGAATGTCTACAATTAAAGATCGACACACTAGATGTTAGTCACAAGGTAAAAGAATTAGAACTCTCATACAGTGTTGATGTGAGTAGAAAATGGTTTAACCAGCTTGGAAAAATGTTCAGCAATTTCTCATGAAACAGTAATTCTCAGAGTAGAATTGCTGCCACACACCTGTAATCCTAGCACTTGGGAGACGGAGGCAGGAGGATCATGAGTTCAATGCCAGCCTGGGCTACACAGAGAGACTCTCAGAAAAAAAAAAGTAGGATACCTGGGTCAACAAAATCAGTGTCACTTGTGGGTCTTAATAGAAATGTAAATTCTCAAAATCCATTCACGATGTACTAATTGAAAACGCCTGAGATGGGACTAGCAACTTGTGACCAGCAGCCCTCTAGGTTATTCTGACACACACTAAAGTTTTTATTTTTTCCTTTTTTGGGAGAACAGGGCCTCAGTGTGTAACCCAGGCTGGCCTTGATGACCATTCTGCCTTGGCCTCTGTGTGCTAGAATTATAGTAGGGCCCCATCACATTTGGCTCATTCCAACTGTTTGAAGTCCTACAATAGGCAAAACTAATCTATGGCAAATATAGTCAGAAAAGGGATTGCAGAGGGGGAGCACTGCCAGGGAAGAGCACAAAGAAGTGCTGGGGTAACAGAAATGTTATACAATTCCACAGGAGTGTCTGACAAGGCTCACTGCATAGTACACAAGATTGACATGTTTGATTTCATATTATTTTTTAAAAACCCACTAAGGAATCATAGGAAATAGCTTTTTCCAAAAAGGTGTTAATAACACTAGTCCTAAGAGATGCGCTATATAAAATGAAAGGTTCTATAGTCAATGAGTTTAGAGAGCATCTGATCACATTTCTCTCTCTAGAACACACACAACACAAAATAGCAAGATAAAAATCCATAACCCCCTAAATTCATTCAACCTAAAAGAAATAAGTTTACTTTTCACTATTTCTCATTTTCTCATTTATCATAGGAAATAAAATAAGTAATCTTGAGAGACAATATGACTCATAAAATTGACATGACTAACTTCTGATGAGAAAAAAGAAACTGATTGAGATGTACTTGAGTTTTCAAGTAATAATCTAAAAATTTCAAGTAATAATCTAAAAATTAATTTTATATCAGAAAAACTGCCAATTCGCCTCTAAAATTTCTTCTGAAAAAGGAAGAGAGCAGGAAACACTTATTTCACTTTCTGATGGAGAGACAATGTAAACTGCTAAGTAATTTTAATTGAGGATGTGCTCTCAGCTGGTAATTTTTCCACTTCCTCTGTGCTTCTCTCACATGGTACATTGTCATAGTGTCATAATCCACTGCCTCACTTTGTCCCTTACAAGTTGTGGGACCCTGGAAAAGACAAACTAGCTAAGCCTTGTTTCTTCATCTACAAAATAGGAGTAACAGTGGTCTTACAGAACTGTAACAAAGATTAAATTAAGATTAAAAATTAGAACAGTCAGGACTCACTACACCTAGAGGAAGCATCTCTATAACAGGCATTTAGAATGAGGCCTGTCTTCAGGGGAAGGAACAAATGAGTCCAACACAGCCAAAACCAAATGCTCCTGCATAATCACTGCTTTACTCATGTGGCCCAAGTATAAGTGTTCTTGTCATATGAAGACTTGGATGCAACTCTGAAACCAGCATCTAATATGGGGCACAGTAGTGCAGGCCTGTAATCCCAGCACTCAGGGAGCAGAGGCAGGAGGATTGTGAATTCAAGGTCAGCCTGGGCTACACAGCAAGTTCCAGGCCAGTCTATACTATACAATGAGACTCTGTCTCAAAAAATAAACAAAAAAAAAAAATCAACATCTATAAATAAATGAGCCTATAAACCAATACAAGAGAGAAAGACTCATTTCACAAATAGCACATAATAACAGAAACAGCTAATCTATAATAGTTTTAAAATTCTGGAGCTAAGACAGAGATGAAGAAAACAATTTAATGTGAAAATGATTAAACCTCACTTCTATATCTATAAAGCCATTATTTTATCAAGAGTGAATTTTTTATGTATTTTATCCATGCAGACCAATTCTTGTCTTAAAGGTATTTCTCCTCCAATTCCTTACGTTGAATCTTAAATTTTTTTATGTAGTACTGGGGATTGAATTCAGGGCCTCACACTTCCACTTGAGCCATGCCCCTAGTCCTTTTGTTTTTTGAGTTTGCTTTTCAGATAGGGTGTTATACTTTTGCCTGCACTGGCCTCAGACTTCAATTCTCTTTCCTTTATCTCCTGAGTAGTAAGTATTACAGGTGTGTACTACTATCCCCAGCCTTAACATCTTTTAAAGTTTTCTTTCAATGTATCTAAGCTGTATCTTTCTGAACTCCTCAACTATAAACACAAGACCAGTTTGCATTTTATTATACCTCTTGATGTGACTTTCCCTCTAAAATGTCATGAGCAATTGTGGGTTTCTGATATTTTACATATACATTAGTTCTAAATGTCAAAGGACATTTACTGAAATGACCTTTGAAAAGGTCACTATATGAGCACCATACCAGATGGAAGATCATCCAAGGGAAATTCAAACAGTCTGGATTTATAAACCGAATGAAAATGGAAATCCTCCTGAAATGACACAAACAACTGAGATTAAGCATGTACAGACCAGGTATCTCTGGCCTCAGGCAATAACAGCTGGAGAACCAGAGACCCTTAAAATAAATTCTAAATTAGAATGTTACAGTCAAGTTTCATATTATCTTTAAAAAATCACACTGTCAAGAAAAATGGCAGAAAGGTACCCAGAAAATAATGTACAAGTCAGACAGTTTTTCAAACAAGGTTGTTTAGAGGTGACAAAACAATTTATATTCCTTGAAATTACTTGCTTCTTTAAGTTTTGGCCAATATTACATGACATAAGGAAGAACATTATATATATACCGAGCCAGAACAGAAGTCTGTTATATTTCTCTGTAGTCTATAATATTAACTTAATCCTTTTCTAATTTATACCCAAAAAATATATCTACTAAAGTGGAGAGAATTAAGAAGTACTGATTTCTCTAAATTTCATTGACATGAAACCTTAAAAAAAAAAAGGCAATTGATGATGGAGGAAAAATGTGGAGTCTAGAAAGGAGGGGTAAAAAATCGTGTATGTGGATTTTATCTGCTATGTACTAAATGTTTGTGTCTCACCTAGAATTCACATGCAGGAGCTTTAAGTGCCATGTCATTGCATCTGGAGAGAGACTGTGAGGAGATAATAAGGGTTAAATAAGGTTTTTAAAGGTGGGGTCCTAATCCAACATGGCTAGTCCCCTAACAGGAAGAGGAAGAGACACAAGAAATATATCTCTCTTTGTGTGTCATATGAGGATACAGGGAGAAGCAAACATCTGTCACCCAAGGAGAGAGCCCTCACCGAATACCAACCAACCCTGCTGGCACCTAAATCTTTGACTACACAACCTCCAGAACTGAGAGGAAAACTTTCATTGTTTAAGTCACAGGTTAGTATTTTACCAGCCTAAGACAGATCTTAGCATGTTATGGTGCAGACAGAAATGGAGGCTTCAAAATACCTCACAGAGAAAGTATTTCCAGCATAAAAGTGAAAAGAGAAAAACAAAACAAAAAAAACAATAACAAAAATCTTGTGGTTTTGACTTATTCAGCATTTAGTTTAAATTACACATAAACAGACATTCTTCTAGCCCTAAATAATATGAAAATAAAATAAAGGAGAGAATATAAGTGGGAGAAAAACAGTTCCCAGCATCAACATTTACATTTGTCATGGCAAAGGGAGCACTTACTTGGGAGGTCTCATTTTCTTCCGGCTCAATGAGATATGTGTGGTTCCCATCATAGAACATCCCACTGCCAAGCATAAGAAAATAATTAGACATGGCTATCAACTCTCCTATCAGAACAAGATCATTTAAAAATCAGCAGCAGCCAGAGGACTGGTTACTTTCCATGCCTATTTTCCAGCCCCAGCTACAACAACCGGATATACCACACACAGTACCTCATTTTGGCCCTACCCCATGCTCAGGATTGCCGTTCTCTACCTGTTGTCTGTTACTTCTAACTCTAATGTAAAATTCTGAAATTTTAATAAAAGCAGAGGCCACCTGGAGTGCATGTGAAAATGCAGGTGTTTCAGAACCCTTCATAGATTTCTAGGCTGGGATTCTGGCAAACCGAATTTTAAATAAACCCCTGGTGATTTTGATGAAGGCTTCTGGGGACTACACTGAGAATGGACTTCCTACCATACATCTGGAAGACACTCTGGTAATAAAAGCTAACATATTTCATCAATTTACCATAAACTAAAATTGAATACCCATTTAATCTCTTCCACAGATGTGTGAGGGAGGTACAATGACTACCCTCATTTTACAGGTGAGGAAATTGAATTCCAAAAAGAATGAAATAACTTTCCCAGATTATATAGCCAACAAGAGCCAAGGCAGGAATACAGCCCAGGCAACTGCTCATTTGCAATCTGCAACCAACCCTCATGCCATCCCTTCTTTCCTTCATCTCTCCCTTTTTTCTTTCCAAATTTACAATGAAATTCACTAAACACTGTTTGAATGAGGAGAAGAGGGAGAGAGGGAATGGGAATATAATAGAGGGGGTGAAGTTGTTCAAGGTATACTATACACATGTATGGAATTATCACAATGAAATCCCCTTGTGTTATTAAGATGTGATAAATCAAAAATAAATAAAAATAAGGGTATTTAAAAAAAAAAGAATTGACTAAATGCCACAATGTACCCCCACCCATCACAACAATAAAGGGAAAACAAAGAATTTACAGAGAACCTACAATGTACTGCTCTAGGTGTGAGGGATATAGCAGTGAACAAAACAGATCAATTTCCTGTCCTCTTGGTGCTGAAATCCATTCTAGGGAGAATAAATAATAAAAATAAGCAAGGAAATATATATTAGATGCCAAGAAATTTTAGAGAGGAAAATAAAGGAGATTAAGGGCAATAAATGGGGCCAAGACTGGGCATGTGCAACCATTATGAGAAAGTTGTCGATCAGAACAAGGGTTCACATAGAAAATGGCATTTAAAAAAAGACCTGAAAGAAGTGATGAGATGAGCCATAAAGAGCATTTCAGATGCAAGCCCAAGGTCATAGAAATCTTATCTTGAGATAAGGTCTCACAATGAATTCCAGAATAGCCATGAACTCATCTTCCTCATGTCTCCTGAATGCTAGGATTATAGAATGAGCCACCACACCCAGGTTCAATTTAAGAGAATATGTGCATGTTCTGGGAACACCAAAAAGTCAGCACAGCTGGAGTGGAATAATTGGGGATGGGAGTAGGGGGACAAAAAGCCAGAAAATGAGATCAGAGGGCTAATGGGGCCATATTAGGTAGGTGCCTCTGAGGACCTTGGCTTTCACTCTGAGAGGTATGAGAAGCCAGTCAAGGCTAACAAGGAACACAATCTCCCAGTTTCAAATAAATAATCATCCCAGCTTCTTAGTGACAATAATCTTTAGTTTGGCATGGACAAAATCAGGAATTATTATAATAATGCTGGTGAAAGAAGTCAGTGGCTTAGATCAGGTCCGTAATGGCAGAAATGATGAGAACTGGTCAAATTCTGGAGAGTTATACGTGTGTATATATGTAAATATACACTTATATGTATCTGTATGTATATCTATATACATGTTTTTTTTTTCTGTATTGTGCTGTGGATTAAACCCAGAACCTCATGGCTGCTAAGCACATATTCCACCACTGAGCTATACTCCCAGCCCAAATATATTTTGTAAGTAGAACCAAAAGGATTTATTGATAGATTTGATATAGAGTGTGCAAGAATGAGAAGACTGAACAAGAACTCCAAGGTTTTGACCCAAAACACCAGAAAGGTAGAGTTGTCACTTAACAAAAGGAAAATGGCCACAAGAATACAGTGGACAGGCCCAAGGAAGTAGGGAACAGGCAGCAGGACACAAACCAAGAGTGGCTTGGGACTCCTCAGTCTGGAGGTGGTTATCCACCTCCTGAGGAATCCCTCTGGAGGGTATTTTAAGCTACATATGGCCTCAACTCCCACTCAGAGAGATCCTGGTAGCATTCCTTTTAGAAGCACATGATCCTTTTAGTGAGATCAGGTCCCTTATGAGCTGATGAAACTTGTCCTATCATTCAGACATCTGAGGGGGAGCAAAGCTGGAATCTTCCATAGTTTTTCATTGTAAAGTAGAAGTGACCACATGATAGCCAAGCTCTCAGACATAGAGTATTTGCCTTTCATTGATGCTTACTGAAATCTATTGGTTTCCCTGTGCTAAATCATAATGGTTTCCAGTTCTGCCTCTATCCAAATTCTTTCATTCCTGCTGTAATATCTTCCACATGTCCAAAACTTTCATGTACCCACAAAATGGCTGTTCTCACATCTGCACAGTTTTCAACCACAAGTATACTTTCTAAATTTGGATGACATTACATTTGGAATCTAAAGATACACAGATGTAAGACACTGCTGGTGATAACATGCCTAAGGAAAACAGTAGACCAACCATGGCAGAAAATATTCTTTCTACCCTTGCCGAGAACAGGCCAGCCTGATCCACAAAGTCATATACTAATCATATACTAATCATATACTAATCACCCTTTGCCAAAGTTTACATGGCAATGATGATAAAGTAGCAAGCCAATTATTTTGTTTAAATAGCACTTGGGGTTATTTACCCTTGCATTAGATTAATGTCCAGGGGGAAAATCCGTTCTTTTTATTGGGCTTATACATCACGTACTATAAGGAAGCTTCATGTAGTGTAAGGAAAGAGACTCTGACACTATCTATACCTGGATGATTCCATTCCCTATGAAAATATGCCATTATTAGTTCTTTAATAAAAAAATTAAAGTGTGTTATTTGCTTTGATGACTGCTACCTTTTTGTTATAATAATACAAATTCTATTAAGTATATTGAGTCCACAGCAGTGTGTATTTGATAAAAACCTGTAGCTAAGACCAAGTCATCTTACCAACTGAACTAAAATTCTACAAAGCTGAATCAAAACAATTTTATTTTGAAAGAAAATGGCAGCCATTCTAACAAATTCCACAAGAGGGCACTACACTCACATTTGATTCCATTTTTTTAAGGTACCCATCCTTACAAGATTTTGTCATAACATCAACCATATTGGGATAAAAATGTTGCCTATTAAGTCTTTAAATTTGAATAAATGAGCCCTTACAAGTTGTTTTTATGGAAAAGACATATAAATCTGATTTTTCTCCTTTTATTTTCTTCTATTGAATGCAATAATTCAGAAAAATGAATGAACCTCAATAATGGTAATTTATAAAAGATAAGCCACACATGAAATAATGGATATCTCATATCTAAACCACTTTAATCGAGAAAACCTACATTATACAATACTTAGTAATACTGCCTCCAAAATATTTCTGAGAGTGATTTTTATTCAGAAAGCAAAACCAAGATGAGAAGTAATAATTAGTAAATAATAAAAAGATGCAAAGTATATTTATCTAACATACTCATAATAGAATAAGAAAGCCTGAACATGGTTGTCCACAATTCTGTCAGTTCCAAGACATGATGGATTTTCTGTCACTTTGGTTTTGCTATCATTCTTAGGTTCTCATATCTAGTAGAGCTCTTAAATCAGAGAATACCTTCTCTGATTCTCAGAATATCATTTCCATGCGGAAAACTGGGATCGAACTGGCAAAAAGGAATAAGCATGATGCTCACATTATAATTTTGGTTTGAGAGTCTAAGAGGAAGTGACAGGAAGGAAAAATAACCTTTTATTTTAATATCGTCCTTCCTTCTAATACACAGTTGCTATCACAAATGTTGACAGGCTCAATGACTCCATTCCTAGCTAACAGCTATGCTTGTGTTGACATCAGCTTGTGTTGACATCAGATATAACAAGTTTCTGTTGAAAAGGACTTCGATGTTTCTTTTACCCTGTAAAAAAACCAGGGTGTCAGATATGCAGGGATTCCACATTTGTAAAAAAAAACCAAAACAAAAAACCTCCTTATTCAAAGAATTATTTAAAATAAATAAATTTACAAATTTATTTATAATAAGCAACAAGCAATGAAAGTTGTCCTGGCCCCCAGGCACACAGCCTCCCTTTTCTGGTTATTTAATTCATTCTCATACTCTCTCCTTTCCTGCTCTCTTACCTGTCTACTCCTAGAACCCCGGTCAGTGGTGCACTGAGGCAGATTGGCTAAATTCTCCTGCCTTTCTCATTAGGTCTCTCATTTTTTTCTCTCTCTCAAATAAAACAAACATACCTGTCACATTCCATAGCAGGAAGCTGGCTAGACTTGCCCTTCCCACTAACTATACTGAGCTCTCAGGTCTTGTGTATCACTTGCCTTAATACTCCTAATGGATGACAATAACAGCTTGCGAGGTGAAAAGGCCACTTCTCTAACTTGGTAGAGAAAGGAAACATTTTAAAGTTCCCCTGCAAAAATTTAACAAACCTAATTAAAGTACTAGCTTGTTCTGTGCTCCCCAAAAGTAAAGTAACCAAGGGATGATATGATTTAGGCTAAATGGAATGCTGAGAAGAACATAGTAGTTTACAAAAGGTTACAAAACAAGTAAAATGTGTACCACCATTTACTGACAGGATGGAGGAAGACGTATTCCCAGGTTAAACATCAACATATTAAAGGTTATGAGAAAGGAAGCAAGAAAAGATGAACTCTGTTCTTTGGAGATCTCTGAGAACACATGGATCCTCCCACAGATTCCTATGAGGTAGATGGGATTTTGTTTGAAAAAGGACTGCAATAGAAGTGCTCCTGAGGTCATTTGCAGACTTTTGTCTTTGTGCAAAGAGCTAAATGTTTCCATCTACTGAAATTTCTACTACTCCATGAAAATAAACAAACTAATAATAAGGAGGAGTCAGGGTAGAATTGGTACCAAGGGGCTAAACATCTACAAAATCATAAACCAAAGTTACCCAAGTACTGTTTGAATTTATATGAAAATAAAAAAATGTTTCAAATATCACTATAGGGCATCATATTATAATTCCAAAGCCTCTGTTTTTACAACTAATCTTAAAATCTCCTTGGTTTTAAAACTACAAAAGAACTGGGTGTGGTGATGTACTCCTGTAATCTCAGCACTCGGGAAGCTGAGGCAGAAGGATCCTAAGCTCAGGGCCAGCCTGGGCTACATGGTGAGACCCTTCTCTTAAAAAAAAAAAAAAGAGAGAGAGAGAGAGAAAAGTCAGAACCACCAATTTAATATTATTTCTTGATAAAAAATAGAAACTTCTATTAAAACTACAGCACATTAAAAATGAGTTATTGAAAGAATGAATAGTACAAATAATTTTCTGGACACTTACTGAAGTCCGTGGCATGTTGACAATGCCACAAATGAGGCAGGATTTCCTCGGATCTGGCCCTGGTAGTAACAGTGCTCTCCTCCCTGAAAACACAAACAGAGGACATAAGCCTTTGCCACCACAGAGAGAATCTACCTTATCATTCCACAGAGGGTTCTGCTCATGCTGCATTGCACATAAAAGCTCTACACAGGACTTCATTATTCAGGTTAGTATTACCAAGCCAATTCTAACAGAATTATTCATAACCACTCCTAGTGAGCTGACTCCAAATCAAAAGACGGAGAAACAAAAGTTGACTTAACTTCGCTTTTATGCAGGTGATGTTAGAGGAATAAAGGAACATATATTGAAATACCCTGTGGTCCTTGCACCAGAAAAAGTTTAATCATTTATTTGTTTATTTATTTGTAAATCACCTATTTCTGTAGTTTTGAGAGATTCAACCTCAAGCAGTAGCAGCAGAGCAGTACTATCACATGGAGCTAAATCAAAAGGAATATAAATTATTTAAGAGTCACTAAGTTATCCCAGTGGGGAAAAATAAGTTTATACACTGTTCATATTGAAATGTGACTGCCAGATAGATGGATTTATACCAGTCTTTTCTGAGACCATATTAGTAAGCCATCTAGGTTTTTAAATGATGGATGTTTCTGCTAGCAACTGGTCACACTAACTAAATTTGACTGAGAGACTAATTTCTTTAGATTAAATGTGGTTGGGAAACAGGATAAATCCTCTACTATTGTCAGTGTGTGCTATTCAGAGTGTGGTCCAGAGACCAGCAGCATTGATGTCGCCGGGTGCTTGCCACAAGTGTAGAATTTTAGCTCAGACCACAGACCTGCTGCATTAAAATCTGCATTTTAACAAGGCTCCTGAGTGATTCATATGCTCATTAAAGTTTGAGAAACTCAGCTTTAAATCACCTTTTTCCAGTCTGCCACAAATTTCCTATTTCTTTAGTAGCGGAGGAAGGCTTCTCATTGAATTGACTTACTGAGATATGAAAGAGTGAAATAGGAAGGACTGATACAGTGGGTAGCTTAAAGGGGCAAATGTTACTTTACTCTGGCTGAAGGATAGACCCTGCTTAAAATAGTGCTTGACAAGCAGAAAGAAAACAGCAAGACATGAAAATGTAACTAGGCTGAAGACATTTCTTTACCAGAATTCCAAGGAAAATAGCCTGGCCTGCAACTGTTGCTGCTCATGAGATAGTCCCAGAGGAGTTTGTGACTCTCAGCTTTGGGGAGGGAGTAGAGAGCAGGTAAGATGGCCAGTGCAATGCAATTCTTAACACTGTGACACTTCCAAATGCCCAGAGGTGTGACTGAGCATCAGGAGCTGAGGATTGTAGTTGGATTTGATGGAGAAGATAGATGGCCCTTTGCATCTGGGTTGGACAAGGAAAGGAATCTCAAAGGTCACAGGAACTTGGGGGCAGAAATAAATCCTCAATACTAAGACAGGACAGCAACTTCATGTGGATATTTGGTACAGTGTAAATATTCACAGCCTTAGTTACCAACTTATTCACCTATTAAACTGTGTAGTCTCAAGCAAGATGCAACACCTGCCTGTGTCCTAGTCTCCTCATCTGTCAACAAGGGTAATTGCATTTTAAGGTTGTTATGAGAATTAAATGAGCTAATAGGCATAAAGTGTTTAGAATAACATTTGGCCCTTAGTAAGCACTCATTAAGTGTTTGCTGCCATTACAATTACTGTGTGTCGATTACTGTTCTAATGAATTTATGTACACAATCACACTACATCCTCACATCAATCCTAAAGGAAGCATTGCTATCTCTATTCTACCTTTAGAAGGCTACAGTTTCTGAGAGCCAAGGCTGTCCACCTGGAAATTACCAAACAGGTGAAAACACTGAGTTAACATAGAGCCTGATTTTTTCCCTAACACCATTTAGGAGTTGGACCTAGAATCTGTGACCTATGCAATGCAAATCTAAGGTTCCTCTGATGAATTATTTTATTTCATTTTATTCTATTCTTTTAATAGGCCTGGGAGTATATGTTAGAGAATTTTAAATATGCTTGGTTGGGCTGTTCGACTGGAGAAATGTCCATAAGATTCTAATAAGAGAAAATATGAATAAGATGAGCTTGACTTACTGAACACATCTGATTGGACCAGAAACCAACACTATAGCTTTGTACTAGCCAGATATAAAAGATCAGCAGTCAAGAAGGTGACCAGGACAAACAGAAAAATCTGTTTTAAAATGTTTTCCTAGACTGGATAGTGATTAGCCCAACTGAATGTTCTCCCTCAGAGATCTAAGACTCAACATGTAAAGGTAGGAAAAACAAAGAATATAAGAGAATTATAGTATCAGATTAGGAAACAATGGGATTTAGTGGTCAATGTACTCGAAGAGAAATGCCAGTGGCAAAGCCTGTAAGAAAGGTTTTATAAATCATTAAAGTTTTTTTAAATACCAACTCTGGAAAAGTCATGCTACAATCATAAAAAGAACAAAGAATTCACTTTTATAAAACATTCTTCCATTATATTAGGAGAGTTAGGTAGATGATAAGATAATGGAAAACAATCTCTTACTAATTTCTGATTTAGAAAAATAGGAGTCATTCCAAAACCAGCATATGATCAGAATCCATCTGCACAAAAGCCTAATGCTGCAGATGCAGAAGTGCTCAATGTGGCTGAGTCATTATGGAATGTTTTCCTGACACTTCAAGAGAAGCACAAACACCAAGGGAGAAAATCTTCCCAGTCAAATTTTGAGGCCCTTAACAGGTGGTATATTCTTTGAAAGTGGTAGAAATTCATTTTTGTGTTATAATATTTTTTCAGACATTATTTACCATTAAACAAAAATTATTTAAACTAAGAAATAATGATTTTTTTCCCCTTTAACATGTCTGGAAATATTTTTTAGTCCAAGATAAAAGCTTTAGTATTAATGGAGCTCCTTAATTTATATAACTTGATTATTAAGTTATTAAAATAAATGACTAAGCAAATTTAATCAACTTTATATTTTAATAATTATTTTATATGCTTTAAATGATATACACTTGAGGCAAAAATTCTGAGAATTTAGTGTGCACATAATGAAAAGTAAAAGTGGACCTTTTGTATATACTATGCAAACAGTTATCTCCAAAAAGATAAGCATTTTTGACCAATTTTGTACACCACGTCAGGAACATACTATGAATATTTAAGGAGATGTGTACACACATGAATATACAAATATTCTTTTCAGTGCACAAATTGTTTTACATTGTGCAAACCATCCTGCCCCTTAATTTTTTTTTCCTGAAAACAACCTTAGTATCTTTCTATATCAATACCTCATTGTTTCAATGACAGCATAATATTCCATTATAGGAGTGAACCATCATTCATTTACATAGTCCTGTACTAATGAACTGTTAGATAATCTCTTTTTTGGGGACTGCTATAAAAATGTATGTATGCATGTCAGTCTACATGTAGGATTACTAAATGTGGATCTGACAGGTCGAAGAGTAGATATATTAAAATTTTTAATAAATATTTAAAGGGACAAATATAATTATGCCTCTTTGCTTTTATATCTGTTTTAAAATATACATTGTAATTGAAAATAATAAACTGTAATTTATTAAAAGTTACATATTTCAATAAATCACTGACTTAAAGGCAACAGTCTCAAATTTTGTCAATTATATTGATATATCTTCATATAACTTTTTCAGGAATCAGATGCTTTATGGAAGTAGGTATTATATATAATAATCTAAGACAGATGTTATAGGAAAAGAGAAGAGCTAGCACATCATAGTAGAGATAGGCTGCCAGTCATAGCTTTATTCCTTATTGTCTCTTTTGTTCCAGAAATAAATCCATTGTCCTTGAAACTTTCTTCATACTGCTAGATGTAATAACACAGTCATAACATTATAGATGTTTATTTTTAGCTAATTAGATGGTTACAGTTGAGAGAAGATCCACCTCTATAAAAATGAACTACACAATAGTTCATGTGTTCTATTTATTGGGTTTATCTTCCCAGTAGAAAAAAAAGGCTTAATGAAATTTTTATTGTAGGGAAGTTAAAATGGTCATTTACTTGCAAAATTCAAAGGCATACCGCACTTTTATTAGGCAGCCAACAAGATCTCAAAAGAAAAATATAATTTATTATAAGTGAGATGATAGTACAAAAAGAGGTTACATAGCCTGGGATGATGAAAACTCCAAAATGGGTACCAACTAGAGCACAGAATAAGGGTCATAGTCATTTGCTCTCCAGCTGAATCTCAAAGGAAATTTCAACTACTTTTGGCTCCAAGTCCTCCAAAAAGCCTTTTTAGATTCCCTGCTCTTCACAAATTACTTCACTCCTTCTCTGGATTTTTACACTTTAAAAAATCTGTACTACATTTCTTTCTACCTGCTTTCCTGTTTCTATCTTATGTAATCAAGTGGACTATGGTCTCCTCGGGTACATTGCTTGATCTATGCTCACATTCCAAGTGTACTTTTGAACAGATACCCTGAATCTTGGGTCCCTCATCAGTAAAATGGGCACAATATCCACTCAAGCTGCATCACCAGAGGAGGCAGGGGATCCTACGGGATAGCAAAACTAAGCATACTGTAAATTGCTATAGATAGGTGATGGGTACAGTTAGGCAATATTTCCTGAGTGAGGGATGCTAGTGTCCCTTGAGCTATGATTCTCATATTTTGTTAAGGCTAATAATTCATAAGCCAAGTGTGGTGGTATGTATCTCTAAATCCCAGCACTCAAGAGGCTGAGACAGGAGGATAACAAATTTGAGGCCAGCTTAGGCTACACAGCAAATCCCTGTCTCAAAACCAAAAATCAAAACAAACAAACAATGGAAAAAAACAAAGACTAACAATTCAGGACGTTGGTCTATAATGCACATACTAAACTTTCTGGCACACAGGTTCTTGAGGCAGCTCTTAAGCAAAATCTAAAAATCTGCATGTTAACAGTTCTTCTCAACCCTGAAGCACATTAGTATCATCTGGGTTCTTTAGAGGGTACTAGGCCTCTGACTGGGAGCATGGCTCAAG